GTTTTGGGATTACAGGTGTGAGCCAATGCACCTGGCTAGACTTACATTTTAAAAGTTACATCAAAACCTTTCACAAATAAATATTTTATAACAATCTTGTCTTTTTTCAAAATTCTATTAATAAAAATGATTACACTTTAATGATAAATTTGCTTACAAATTTAAGGTAGCATGAGAGTTAAACATTTATAACTATCAAACATAAACCTGTAGTGTTCAATGATGCCTGGTTAAAAACAATTCCAAAAAAGTTGATGCTATCAGATTGTAGAAACAATTTAAAATCTTAAGTTCATTTTTAACTTTGAAAAATAAAATAATTATACAAACATATATTCAACCAAATCACTAATCTGCGATTTCTTGACAAATGTTTATAGTAATACAATAGTACTGTTTTGCAAGACAAGCCCTAGCTTTTAACTAATATTTATATTCAAATATTGTGATTACTTTTTAAGTCTGTATATGGCTAAGCAAATTTTGTGTGAGTTTTACTCTACTATTTAGAAGAAAAACAGTAAAAAATTAGTCACTAGTTCAGAACTAATATATTTTTGGTCCTAGCAACTTGTTAAGGAGTAATAGTAAAGGAGTATCTTTTTTTATGGTGCTCTGAAAATAAAGGATTTGCCTATAAAAAAGCAGTTTTAGAGACATGCACAGACAGGAACTCAGACGTGTCATACACACTCTTTCAGTCTTCTCAAGTTTCAGTGAAACTGATCAGGACTTACATTTTACTAAGGGAAAGAAAGGCTTATTAAAAAGATTTGAGAAGAATATACAAAGAATGAATGGCTCTTTCCTAAGCTAAACTGAAATTAAGAATGAGTGAATATTTCTTTTTTTTTTTTGAGTTGGAGTCTCACTCTGTCGCCCAGACTGGAGTGCAGTGGCCGCTCCCAGCCACCGCAGCCTCGACCTGCTGGACTCTGGAGATCCTTCCACCTCAGCCTTCCGAGTAGCCGGAATTACAGGCGCGCGTTGCCACACCCGGCTAATTTTTTGATTTATTGTAGAGATGAGGTCTCGCCTGCACAGGTGGGTCTCAAACCTGCAGGCTCAGGCAATCCACTCACCTCAGCCTCCCAAAGGCACAGGATTACAGGCTGAGCCACCAAGCCCGGCTATTAAGGGGATATTTAAATAAATTATTACATGTAGTAGAGTATTATGTAACTATGAAAAATATTTTGGAAGCATTTTTAATAATATACAAAAACCATTTAGCCTATAATGTAAGAAAGTAAACTATGAAATTAATAAAAACAGCAAAAAATCTTTTAAAAAGGAAAAGAAATAGTTAAAATAATAGAAGTAATGACATCTGGGTAGAGGGATGTTGGGAGCCAGCCTTGGAGGCCCGCCTGATTGACAAAGTCCAGGTGTGCTGAGGACCCCAGGCTGCAAAGTGAGTCCGGGCAGCTGAGGCCCTTCTGTCTTCCATCTTTGCTGTTTGTACAGCTGAAGAATTCTGTACAGTCAAGCATGAAGAGAACAACACGTTTATGTGAAGTAGTCACAGCTAACCTGAGAATGTCATGGTTCATTTTTCCATTTCCCACTATGCTGTTTGGCCTTTCTAACATATGCAAGGGTTAAACTCTGAAGCACATCAAGAATGCTTTCTTTCACTTGGTTATAAGTTACTAGATATTGCTTGAGTAAAAAATGATATAAGTGCCGGGCTCAGTGGCTCAGCCTGTAATCCCGCGCCTTTGGGAGGCTGAGGTGAGTGGATTGCCTGAGGCCACGGGTTCGAGACCCACCTGGGCAGCGAGACTTCATCTCTACAATAAATCAAAATGAGCCGGGCGTGGTAGCATGCGCCTGTAATTCCGGCTACCCGGAAGGCTGAGGCGGAAGGATCGCCGGAGCCCAGCAGGCAAGGCTGCGGTGGCCGGGAGCGGCCTTTGCACTCCAGTCTGGGCGATGGACTGAGACTCCAACTCAAAACAAAACAAAACAAAACAAAACAAACAACAACAAAAAAATGATATAAGTATATTCACTCCTTATTTGATTTAGAATTATGTAGTTGAGTGTTTAGACATAAGGTTTTTTAGAAGCACAAGTTTATAGTAAGTTTATTATGAATTCATTATAAGTTCTAACACTTATCTAGGAGTTATGTAGGTGATTTATAACACTGTTTTCATAGATTTTGGATGAAGATTAATCGTTAAGGTTTTTACTTAATTCAATAGTTAAAATTCTAAGTTAACGCCTATAGAGTGGGTTTTCACTGAATTCATAATGTACTAATTGGATACTTTTATGATAAATTAACTAAATACAGAGAGTAACCTTGGGGGTCTGGGAAACATCACTAAAAGCTTCTTTTGAATTTTCTTTAGAAATACACACTGCAGTATAAAAGAAAAGTAACGAAGATACCTGGACAAGAGAGGTGATTACAAAGCTCTGAAGGTCATAGAAGGCCCAGAGAGAAAACTCCTGACAAATGAAGAAATGTGCACTTGGAAACTTTCTTGAGACACTTCAAGGAATGTAATTCGGGACTCTGGACTAAACTATCATTTTTGGCTTTATGAATAAGACTCATTGACTAAAAGTAGATAGTGTTCTTGGCCTGTTTGTTGCTTCTAAGACCACTAGATGGTGGTAACTTTTAAAGGATAGATACGTGAAGGAATTTTCTTTGTCTTGCCTCTTTACGAATGGTATAAAAGCTTTCTGTTAACTAACATTAAATGACATCTGTCCTGCAAGCAGGTGTTCAAGTATATCATTTTGTCCTAAGTTCCTTCTTTCGCCTATTCTGTCTCTCCTTCAAGAAACTTCACACCCGGCGGGAGCAGGACTCCGGCAGAGGGACAACAGACAACTTACTTTCTTCATACTTCTTCCTATAAATTCTAAATTTACCAAAATGGGCACATATTACTTTTAAAATCAAAAAAGCAGTATCTAGCAACAAAAGATCTCTCTAATTTCCTTTTCTTTTCACCCAGTGATGAACACCCACTCTTCCTATTTCTTACCTCTGCTCCTTCCTTCATTCTGTCCAGATTTCACATCACTGTTTTATGGAAGTGGCACCGTGACTCACACATCTATCTGTATGCTTGGCGGCACTTGTAATGGCAGCAAGATTACGCAGAAGGGCACCAGGCTGACAGTTGTTTCCCAAAGTAACCTAAGCACACCAGATTTTTTCTCTTTTTCTTTGAGTTGGAGTCTCACTCTTGTTGCCCAGGCTGGAGTGCAGTGGCATGCTCACGGCCATTGCAGCCTTGACTTGCTGGGCTCAGACGATGCTTCCACCTCAGCCTTGGAAGTAGCTGGAACTACAGATGCACGCCACCACACCCGGCTAGTTTTTGTGACTTATTGTAGAGACAAGGTCTCACCAAGTTACCCAGGCTGGTCTTGAATCCCCAGGCTCAGGCAATCCTCTTGCCTCCGCCTCCCAAAGTGCTGAGATTACAGGCAGAGCCACCACGCCTGGCCAGCACACCAGCTTTAAAGTCACACACACAGCTGTGAGCCTGCACCTGATTCCTGTAATTACTTACTGTGTGAACTTTCGTAGCCTCTCTCTTAACCTGTCAAGTTTCTTAACCTCTCTGAGGTTAATTTTCCAATATGCAAAAAGTAACAGATGATATTTTTCTCACACAGGGTTATTATGATTTAATAAGCTAATGCATTTAGTATACTTGGCACAGAGAAAAAACTTGCTAAAAAGTTGTTATTATTTGGTAAGTAATATAGCCTTTATGCTACACAAAATAAATTCCTATTTTTAGCCACATCAGAAGAGAAGTGGCCAGAAGACTTGTGCTCCTACTGCACAACCTGAAGGAATTTGCATGGTTAGGGCCTCTCTACATTAGAAACCTATTTCGGGGGGGACATAACATCGAGTACCAAACTTTACCCGTACAATGACCTCTTATGTACCTAACCCTGAACTGTACCCCACATCTTTAAAATAAAAAAAAAATAATAATAATGTCATCTCAAAAAAAAAACAAAAACAGAAAGAAACCTATTTCGTTTATTGCACTGGTATATTTTGTTATTAGTTTACTTGCTCATTTTCTGTATCCCTCACAAAAACCCTAAGCTTTATGACCAAGTAAACTGAGCCAAGTATATAATACTTAGGACCAAGTTGGCCCTCAATACATGTTTGCTGAATCTTGTATTTCTCTATCTCCAAGTGTATTTTGCAATACTTGAAGTACTGGAAATAGAAAAGGGAAACTAAAAGTGACATGCATTTCCAATCCACCATAGTACCACTGCTGTCATTTCTTTTCTAACCTATTTAGCTAAGTCTAGAAAGAGAGGTCTAGTTCTGCCAAGAGCAATCCAATCAGGACACAGTGTAACAGTGTACAATTTGACACCCTTTCCTAATTTCACATTTCAGAAAAGTGGCACTAAACAGTAGTTTATGACACCTACATAGAATTGCTAGTGACACTAAACAGTAGTTTATGATACCTACATAGAATTGCTAGTGTACATTGAAAAGCATGACAGTACTCCCTAAGCAAACAAATACACACAAAGTCTTCCTTTCTCATATGAAAAGCCAGGGTGATAATACCTCTCTAACAGGATTATTTTGAGGATTAAATGGAGATGGGACATGCAAATTACTCAGCAGCACAAAAGTAAGCACCAAATGAATGGTAGCTATCATTAAAGCACAATCCTGAGGTGAACAGCATGCAGGCACATAACATATCTCCTCGTATGAGCTAATTCTTGAATTGCAAAGTTGTCTAGTAACTTCAGTTTTATTTTAAGACTAGATTGTATTGCCTTTCTGTTTCAATTTGTTTGCATTAAACTTCATTACATTAAAAAAGTTTTAAACCTTTTAATATTTGTACTTTAACATCTGAAATTTTATAATTTAAATGAAATTTTACTTTCATTTTCTATGACAAAAAGTTATCAAAAACCAAACCAAGTCAAATTATTAACAAGAATTCTTTAAAAAATTAAGGATATTTTACCTGACCATTTCCAAGCAGAGATATATCTTTCCCCATTAGAAAATAGGATCCAAAAAAGAAAATAAAGGCATGGCTGAAACCCAGGATGGTCCAATAAAGAAATGTTTTAATGCTTAAGAGACGATTTTTACTAATGTCTCTGTAAATTAAAAAAGAGAGAAAAGAAAAAAGGAGCACATTAGGAATCATTTATTACTTGTCTGTTAAACAATTATAATATGATCATTAAAAACCTAGATGGATTTTAATTTAAAATTGTTTGAAAATATTAGCAGAAAGAATAAATAAATCAAACTTATAAACCACTGCTCATATCACACACCTGTGTAATGGCTTATAGTTCACATTATATATTCAAGCATATTTTCTCATTTGATAAAAAAATATGATATAGACAGAATACTTCAGTTTAATTGTGAAACGCTGACTTATCTATATTATATTCTTCTGTTAACATTCAGTCACTCTGCCATGATGGTCTCTTTTTAGTGGGGTCATCTTAGTTAGGTTCAGCATAAAGCTGCTAATTAACTTCACTTCCAACAATAGCTATATGGGAAGAACTATTTGTGCCAATCTTGGGTCAAACCCTGTCCTAGATATCCTGGGAAATCAAAGGAAGCTATTCCATATCTGGATAATTAGATAACTCGATGAGTGGTTCCTCTATAAGAGTTTATGGCAGAAACCATGAGCTGGCCCAGAAGAACAGGTCCCCATCACATCTCTGGAATTACTTGGTTCTGGGGAAGCTGGAATAAAGCAAGGGATCTGGAATGGGAGTCAATGTCCTCAACCCTGCACTTTGCACTGATTATTATTTGTAAATTCAGCAACAGTAGAACATAAACTAACTTTTTAAGGAATTCTAGAGACTACCAATTAGTGAATCAATGTCTTTTTGTGCACATGAAATAGAGTATTATTGGTTTACAACAGTAACTGCAAATTGTACAAATGACAATGCGTTCCTGGGATTAAAGTGCTCTTTCTTAAAACACTGGAAAAAAATTTTTTCTCTCTTTGATACTCAACAAAGTCATACAACTAAAGAATTTTCTATAGTAAAGTATAAATCACCAAGACACTAAAATATTTGCTTATTTTTTAGGTACTTTAAATAATTGGTAACTATTTAATACACTACTTGCAATCAGAAATGTGAAGGATGTTTCACACAAGGAAATACTTACCGATAGAGGGTGGGCTTGTTCTGTAATACATGAGGGTCTATATGTTGTTCCAAAAGACTATATATTAGAATAGGTAAGGAAGTAAAACAAATATTGTATAAAGTCAGGTACACGCTGTCATACAATGTCTAGAAAGAGAAATTGGTGGGAATGTTGAGGGTCTAAATTATGTATTAGTATTATACTTATGCATATAATCACAAAGCATATTCAAAACAAAAATCATACAACTTTTTCAATTTCACTAAAATCCATTTTATTAATTCCAATTAAATAATTCCAATTTGTTTTTAATATAGACATTAACATACGTTGCTCCTAGATTTATATTCTTTGTGGGAACTGGAATATTTTGCTATGTCAGGTATTTCTGTAGTTACAGTGAATTAGGTTCTCCACAATTTGGTCATTGTGAAGTGATTTACACAATCTTCCTACACGAATCCCAGACTTCTAACTATTCCCTCAATATGTGCTACACATAAATTTTGCTTTCATGACTTTGTCTCTCGTTAATATCCTACATTTCCTTTAAGGCGCCAAACAAGACTATCTTCTTCCATGAAACTCTGCACAGTGGGTTAAGCTCTTGATGATAGCTTCCACCGCTAAACAGTCACAGGTGCTACTGTTGGTACTAACTGTTTAGCACTTAGCCAATGCTTCATATGTTATTTTATTGTTATCAACACTACCTCCCAAATTACACAGTCAATTCTCTGAAACTCTGGCCAAAATAAGTCAGGTCCCCTTGTCATATAGTCTTACCACATTCTTAAGTTAATTCAGGTAAACAAACTGTTACTGGCAATCAATGCCCAAGCAAAGATTTAGAATTTAAAATTACAGATTACGAACAGAGGAGAAAACAGCAGTTATGAATAGGAACAACACATGGAAAACCTAAGATAATTAAGTTCTTGTTTTTAGTTATTAACTCAGCTAAGGTAAATTACTTAATCTCTGTGAATTTCACTTTCCTCTTCTATAAAATGAAAAAGAATAGATCAGGAATGGTAAATACATGATTTGTGTGCAAACAAAGATGAACATGGTGCCCATCACAGAACTACTAACAAATTAAAGCATTTTTCCTCTGAGCCTATAGCTTCAGAAACCTTTTCAATGTAGCACACCAGGTGACCCTATTAATTATTTGAAGATAGCTTCTGAGACAAAACTTATACATCATCCCTGGAATAAATCACTATGGTTCCTTCTAAATCTAAAAAATTCTGAGTCAAAAACAAAAATGAGGTAAGTCTGGCTTGATATGGATTCTATAGAAATATCACAAATGAGTTGAAAAGGCTATCCCAATTATCTCATAAACTGTTAAGAGTTAATATCTATTTTTTAAAAATCATCCAGAATCATATTTTGGTATTAATACTCACCTGAAACTGAAAACCAGAATACATAAATATTAATGTTATGCTGATTCAATAACAAAAATCAGAAAAGTTTTGACTAATTATCTGTAAAATTAAGAAAAATGAAAAAAGTCCCTCCAAAAGTCTATCAAAATCTGAACATGCATACCTTACTCTAAAAATGACAAAACACAAGCTTCTATTTACTTACTTGTTGAGAAAACAAACAGTAGAACTGATATAAAAATTGGGGTGTGATAAAGCACACATTCTGAAAAAGAAGATTAAATGAAAAATAATTAAAACATGTAGGTATAAAAGAGGAAAACAATTTAATGGCTACTAAAGTGTCCAAAAATACCACCTCAGATGTGATGGTCCATATAAAACAGGAAAGAAGTCTCAATTTATTAAAAATTGTCTAAAAGCATCCTAAGCAGATATGCAGATGTCAGAATGAAAATGCCCTTGACTCCGATCACTGACAAGCAATACTATAATTTTGAATTTGCAACCTTCCAATTATTAGTCAATGTGTTTCCTATATTGTACAGTAAGAAAGATTTACTCACACTTTAGGGTTATGATAGTTTTCCAATGGGAAAAAATTTAAAACACAATAAACTGAATTATTAAAACATCTTTTTGTCTCAATATACTCATATCACAAGTAAAAGTTGGAATAAGTTAGAAGACATCATCTTATTTGTGTTCTTGCATTGGCTTGCAGCAACTAATGATAGGAATATATGCAACATAGCACACTCTGATGTGTTATATGTACTGGCAGCAAGGTTTTTGTTTTTTTTTTAGTTGGAGTCTCTCACTCTGTCATCCAGGCTGGAGTGCAGTGGCATGCTCAGAGCCACCACAAACTCGACCTGCTGGGTGCAGGTGATCCTTCCACCTCAGCCTTTCAGGTAACTGGAACTATAGGCATGAGCTACCATGCCCGGCTAATTTTTTGATTTATTGTAAAGATAAGGTCTTGCCAAGTTGCCTAGGCTGGTCTCAAACCTGGGCTCAGGCAATCCTCTCACTTCAGACTCCCAAAGTACTGGGATTATAGGCATGAGCCACCGTGCCTGGCCCAGCAGGCGCTCTTAATGTGGGTTCCTCAGACTCCCACCCTCCACAAAAGTGTATTTTAATAGTAGAGTATTTCAATACAACTAGTTTCTTTGTAATCCTATGAACTTTATTTTATGCATATTAAAGCCCTGTATTGAAGAGCTCATACATTTCACTTAGACTATCAAAAGGTCATCATGGCACAAAAAAGGTGAAGAACTGCTTGAAACCAACATATTGGAGTTAAATTAAAATTGATTACTAGTTCAGGACAAATTAAAAGAAATAAAATTTGTGTTCTAATTTGCATAAAATAAAATATATCATTTTAAGTATACATTTTTGATGTGTTTTGACAAATTTATATACAATTAAAATAAAATTAGGCAGCTTTTCCATCACCCTAAAAAGTTCTATATCCCCTTCCAATCAATTTTACCACTGGAACCCTTGGCCCCAAGCAACCACTGGCAAGTTTTCTGTCAGTATAAATTAGATTTATAACAAAATAATGGTATTTTTACTAATATAAATGATTTTTAAGAAAAATTTCTATGGTTATAACATTCTAACCATATAGTTAGAAACTTATTTGGTTTCTAATTTAAATTGAAACTTCAAATTATGATATCAATAATTGATTCCAAATACATGAAACTTACCTTATAAAAAAAATACTGTACAAGGGTAGCTATCCTAATATAATAAAAATGACCATGAACAAAAAGCAATTTGGAGAGGAATTTAAATCTGGCTATTGCATAGTCACTGTTTCTTGCAGCCTGTCTTCCTTCTTTACCCATGATTCCTGTAACAAAGGGTTCAAAAAGTCAAGTTCACTAATAGCTGGTAAGTGTAATTTTCATGACATATCTTTAAATATCTTAATTATTTACAAGTATAGAATTTGAACACTAATCCTAATATACAGCAGATAGCCGATGTCCAAAATGTTGTTCTACTTAAATATGTAACTAATATAAAGCTACAATATATATACCAGACAGGAAGCATCAATATTCAAAGACTCAGAATATAATAACATGCAGATAATATAAAAACAATATTGAAAGTTCAAGATCTACAATGTCAAAAATTAGGCTAAACATGTACTCAGCCTTTGCACAGTTAAAAGGCTCCCTTCCTGGAAACTGGCAACAGCACTTGCTGGCTAGGTTAAATTGTCTAACAGCTTTTTTTTCACTTCTGTAAATCATGCTTGCATTGCTTGAAAGGTACCTAGGCCTCCAGGATGTTGCAGTTTAGCCCACTTAAAAAGTCACAATGTGGTTTAGCCTTTCTTAAGCAAGCCCCTACAGCTAATCAGGGCCTCTTGCTGTGGGACTGTTATGTCCAGCAGGCAACTGGCCGCCGGCCCAGCTCTTGGCTAATAAAAACCTCTCCTTTTTATAACTTGAACTTCTGGTGTTGGAGTCTGTGAATTGAGCATTCAGACCCTATTTCACAGGAACATCAATTTTTGCACTTAATAGCACAAGTACTGGGTTCTAGACAGATGGACAGAAAGAATGCTATAAAACAGATTTAACTTCACTATTTCCAATGAATACAAAAAAATTCAAATTAAATAATTTGAACCAAGCAATAAACTTTCATGTGTAAGTCAATGTGTACTTAAAAAAGTACATTTTAAATAAATAAATTTGAAAAATATAATAAATATAATATAGTAAATATAATAACATATCATGGCTCACTGCAGACTCAACCTCCTGGGCTCAGGCAATCTTTCCAACTCAGCTTCCCAAGTAGCTGGGACTATAGGCATGAACCACCATGCCTGGCTAGTTTTCAGATTTCTGGTAGAGATGAGGTCTTGCTATGTTGCCCATCCCAGTTTGTCTTTTTTATCTTTAAAATTTGTTTTGGGGAGTTTTTACCTCTGCAAGATCTTTTCCCTGTAGTTAACTATATTTCCTTGCTTTGGTATTGTGCTTAAAAGATACTTCTACCCTCAGATAACAGGATTATTCACTAAATTTTCTTCTATTACTTGTTATGGTCTTTAAAAATTATTTAAATCCTAATCTGGGCGGGGCACAGTATCTCACATCTGTAATCCCAGGACTTTGGGAGGCTGAGGCAGAAGGATCACTTGAACCCAGGAGTTCAAGACCAGCCTGGGCAACATAGAGAGACCTCTTCTGGACAAAAAATTTTAAAAAATTAGTTGGACATGGTGGCATGCATCTGCAGTCCTAGCTACTCTGGAGCCTGAGGCAGAAGGATTGCCTAAATCCAGGAGGTTGAGGCTGCGGTGAGCTGTGATCATGCCACTGCACTCCAGCCTGGGCGACAGAGTGAGACTGTGACTCAAAAAAGATCCATCTGGAATTTGTTTTGCTATAAGTAATGAAAAGAAACCCACTTTTTTCTTTTTTTCCAAATAAATGACCAGTTTTATAAATGTTTGTTACTAAACAATTTGTTGCCCTATATATTTGAAACATCTCCTTTGTCATATATTAAACTTCCAGATGCTTTATTCTAGTCACTGGTCTGTTTTGTTGTAACAGAATCACGCTGTTATAAATACTGTAATTTTTTTATCCTTTAATACATGGTATAGGACGTTACCAAATTGCTATGAAGATTTATGGGAAATAAAAACAATATCAAACTAGGAAAAAAGTAAGTTTTCAAAGTGAACAGTTAATTATCTGAAAGAGGAAGGAGTTGATTTGAGAGAGAGATACTGCGAATAGCCGATGTGATAACTACCCATCACAAGACATTACAGAAACTATTCCAGAACAGGACCTAGTGTAACTCTCACAATTTACCCTTCAATAAAAAACACCTAGCCACACTTTTCTTTTTTGCTCTGCTCTGTATTTGTAAAATAAAATTATAGAGACAGCTCAGAATACAGCTAACATAGGAAAGGATTAATAAATTAAATATAACGAAACGATATTAGTATTTTGGATTCAATAAAAGTTTTATCCAAAAAAAGAAAAAAGTTAGAATAAAGGCTATTAAAATTAGAAAACTATCTGAGGTTTTATGTTTTTATTAGTTTGGTACAGTTTCCTACCTCTAAAATTATCTTTAAGATGCATTGCAGGCCGGGCTTGGTGGCTCAGCCTATAATCCCGTGCTTTGGGAGGCTGAGGTGAGTGGATTGCCTGAGCCTGCGGGTTCGAGACCCCTCTAGGCAACTTGGCGAGACCTCATCTCTACAATAAATCAAAAACTAGCCGGGCGTGGTAGCACGTGCCTGTAGTTCCAGCCACTTGGAAGGTTGAGGCGGAAGGATCGCCGGAGCCCAGCAGGTTGAGGCTGCAGTGGCTGGGAGTGGCCACTGTACTCCAGTCTGGTCAACAGAGTGAGACTCCAACTCAAAAAATATATAAAATAAATAAATAAATAAAATGCACTGCAGAATCTTTAGGTTCACAAAGTGTATAACAGTAACATTCTAAAACAAGAATTTAAAACCATAGGGCAACTATAAATCACAAATTTAGGATTTAAAAAGGATAAAATAATGTGTGGAAGTACTTTAAAAGGTACAAAATGGCATATAAAAATAAAGTTACTTTTATTATGAAGAAGAATTGACAAAGATAAAATTCACTAATGTAGTAGTTATTTCCTTTAAATTTTGGAACTAAAATATACAAAATAGTAGGTTTAATTATAATAGGTTTCTGACGGGAATGCACTGTGATATGTTACCATGTTGTATTTAGTTTTCATTAACAAATTTAATATTGTACTTTAATCTATACAAGGAAAATTCTAAACCACCAAATAATTATACCACTTTAGAAGTTCAGGAAAAAAGTCAATCACCTATGCCAACATGAGCTTCCTGTATCATGCTTACATCATTAGCACCATCACCAACAGCCAAGGTGATAGGTTTCTCAGGTGAGATTTTTATCAGTCTTATTACCTGGAAGACATACAATAAATTAGGTCTTTATGTTAAAATTTCAATTTTCTTCAGTGTTAATATTTCAGTGAAATGTTTTTCAATTTTATTGCATTCACATAATATCATTTATCTAAGATGATTCTGTAATAAGAACAGTGAAGTGATAAAAAAATTTAATTTTATATTAGATAATAATATGCACTGGAATTAATTTTTTGAGAAATATTCCCATTAAAGTTTTAGAGATGTCTTTTAGAAATGTCAAAACAAAACAGAGAATTATCTTTCTATTTTTTGATGAAGAATAATCATCTTTAGAATACAGCTTAAATTTTTTAAAGGTTTAATAATAGTGTAAAAGACTGTACTTATGGGGCAAACTCCTCGGGTCCCCTCCCACTGTGGGAGCTTTTCTGTCCTCTCAATAAACCTGCTTTAAAAAAAAACAAAAACAAAACAAAAAAACTGTATTTACTTGAATTGTTAGGCAAAATTTTTAATTTCTCAATAAATTATTTTTACACTTGGTATAGAGGAAAGACAATTGTTTTGTAATAAAATTTAAAAAAATTTTTTAAAGTAATCAAGATTAAATCCAATGAAATCAAAAGAAAGATTTTCTGAAATTCTTGAATGTACTTTTATAAAGATCCTAAGTATTTGCCCTGTTTGACCTCTAGTTTTAGTTTCCAGAGACTAGGGTAAATGAATTATAATAATATAGGCACTGTAACAAAACTCCATGAAGCCAAAAAACCTGGATATCTCAAGTACTTATTAGATCGATATGTGAAACAATCAGTATTTAGATACACATTGCCAAGGATATTTATGAAATATATAGTTTAAGACTTCAAATCCCAAATTTGGAATGACAAAAAAGGTACAAACTTTCACTTGAATCACAGGTAGCTAGAATTTAAGTATTTCCTGCCTATAGCTCCATATTACAAATTAATTGGCTTTTTAACTTAATAGCCACTTTTAACAAAGATGTATCATTTCATGAGAATGCAATAAACAGATAAACAGAACCATCTTGAGATACAGATAATCTCCTAGGCTCCTTCACTAGCTAAGTAACAAACTGAAGTAACATTAGTTGTCACAGTTTAAATGTGTGTGTTCAGCAATGTCATGAACTTCTATCCTTCAGACTTTCCAGGTCATTATGAATAGCTGAAACTTTAATGTTCACTCTGAGAATTCCAGAAATCTAATGTACATGATTTAAATTCGCGAGATGTGACTGACTCATAGTAAAATGTATATACTGTACACCACCAAATTGAACTATGATGGGGGACTCCCCCCACAAAAAGGATTTGTTTTGGAGAGCGGGTCTCCTGTAGTATAGGCTTCCCCTGATAGGTAAGTTTAGTGTATGAGGTTTTCTCTTTCTTTGTTTTCCAATTTTTCAAGGACATTAAATATAATGGATGCTCTTGGTCTATATTTAGTCACAGAGGGAATAAAAAAGTTGTGAATATTCAGGAAGGCAAGTGCTTGTTTCAACATATGAAGAAAAGGAGTTTAAGAGTGGTTGAATAACACTGGAAATGTATGAAAAGGATATGGAAAAATAAGAACGTAGGAACAGAGAAAACTGAGGAGACTAGAAAGCGATATGAAAACCAGCTGTAGGATACACCGCAGAGTGAATGTGGGCCACAGGTAGCTTCAGAAATCCTGTGACAATTCTAGGAAGTCCCATCTTTTTTTATGGGTCAGTAGGGATGGCTACCATCAAGTTTGCTTGACAATGCAAACACCAGCTGTTTTGCTGTCTTGTTAATTATATCCACAGCTCCCTATAGGGAGGGGAGATGAACTTTCCCAGGCTTATCTGTGATTTCTAGCACACTGACTCTGACCCCTAGTTGCAGGGGTTTATGATAATTAGGCTTTTTACTCCTCTGTGGGGTCAACTGTTTTTCCTGAGAAGGAAGCCTATGTGGGCTTCTATGTCAAGTCAGAGATGTGGATGTGTGGGATAGTATAATGCCCATCGGCATTAGTGTACCAGCTAGTGTTGTTGTGAGAGGCTGTGTTCAGCTTCAGTGAATTTAAAAAAAAAATTTTTTTTTTTTGAGTTGGAGTCTCACTCGGTTGCCCAGACTGGAGTGCAGTGGCCGCTACCGGCCACTGCAGCCTCGACCTGCTGGGCTCCGGCAATCCTTCCGCCTCAGCCTTCTGAGTAGGCTGATGCGCTACCACGCCCGGCTGATTTTTTAAAAATTTATTGTAGAGATGAGGTCTCGCTGCCCAGGGGGGTCTCGAACCTGCAGGCTCAGGCAATCCACTCACCTCAGCCACCCAAAGGCGTGGGATTACAGGCTGAGCTACCGAGCCCGGCTGAATTTTTTTTTCAGATTCTTTCAATGCGTTTGCCCATTTTATGAGTGATTTACATGAACAACCTGTCCATACCATATTGAGTATTAAGCAGCTTTTGACCAAAAACTAATGACCCCTGTGCTCCACCCTTTCTATTCACCCAGTCTTGCCCCAAGTGACTTTTTTTTGCTTACTTGGATGAAAAATGTTCACAAAGGGAAACGTTTTGCCAAGGCGAAAGAGGTGAAACAAAAAATGGCAGAAGTACTAAAAGGCATCAAAACTGATGAGTTCAAAAACTGTTTCTGAGCAGTGGAAAACAGTCTCAATAGGTGTATTGCATCAAATGGAGAGTACTTTAAAGGTGACTGAAGTTTAAACATGTAAGAATAAATTCACAATTTTTTATAAATAAATTCCAGTCTTTTGGGTTCCCTCTTGTATGTAAGGCATTAACCTTAGAGAATATTTTTAGATTTAAATATTTACGAGACTTTTTATAACATATACATACTTTTGCTTTCTGCAGTGGTGCCATACGGCAGCATAATACAGCTGAACAATTTCTGCAAACTTCCATGAATAGTTTTTCATGCTCCCTGAGGGCAAGAGACAGGCTGGTCCCATCTACAACCAGCCCATGCTGAATCACATGATCCTCCGTAATTCTAAAAAATAAAATAAATACATCCTCTTTCAGATTCTTGGAAGTCATATTATTTACACTCATATAGAACAAAAGATTCTTACTGAAAGATGGATCATTCACCCACAGACATCATTGCTATAAAACAGGTATGTCAGAAAACAAACCCAGTTGTATTACTTGAAGTTTAAGATTAAGCAAAACTGAGTCACTGATATGAATAAACAGGTTATATTCAATTTTACCATGAACTTATATATAGATAGAGTAACTACAGTGAACTGTAACATAATCTGAGGAAATTCTCCCAAATTATGATTATGGAAGGTTTTACAAAAATAAAAACATTATTAAACATTCAGTAAATCCTATTAATTTTTAAAAGCTAAATGAAATAAAGAATGTTCAGGAAAATCCATGAGCTATAATCACCATATGTGTAAATAGAAAGCAAGAGAGTGAAGAACTCAGTACTAACCACTATGATGGGTTGTAAGGCCAGATAGTACTGTGGTGAAACCCTCACTTATGGGCATATGCTACATAAGTGCTATTCAAAGTACAGCCTGATGAATGGGAGCTAGGTAAATTTATTGCCAGTAAGAGATAAGGAGCTTTACACCATTATGATTCAACTATATCACTAAGCACACTATTTTATTCAGCTGTTTTTTCCCCACCAACCCTTTCTTGATGAAGGAAGTAGTACCTAGATTTATATACTAGTGCAAGCTCAATTCCCACTGCACACCAGCAAAGACCCTTCTGACTGTCTTTTTAAAACATCAGGTTAGTATCACATCAATGCCTGCAGAACACATATAAATAAAGCACTGAATTAACAACTACGGTATTGTCTTCTTGTGTTTGTTTTCTGGGTGAGCATCACAGGACCACAAATTACAGAAACTTGTAGGAGACCTAATATGCCTACAAACAAGAAACCCTGATGCTCACAATGATGCCCTCCTTAATTTACTGTGAAAATTAGACTGTGTTGAAAGGGGCCACCATCTGTTCCCATATGGGGCATAAATTTGATCTGCCCATAAAAAATATAGTTATAAAAAGACAAAATTTCGAGTATAAATTCTTATGAAATAATCTTTGAACAGTAAAATGCAGATGAATTTCCCAGTTGGGTCATGCAAAGTGTTTTCTGTAAAGGGCCAGATAGTAAATATTGTAATTTTTGGCTTTGTGGGTCAAGATGCAAAACTGAGAATGTTATAGCTGGGTGTGGTGGCTCATGTCTGTAATCCCAGCACTTTGGGAGGTGGAGGCGAGAGGACTGCCTGAGCCCACGGGTTCAAGACCAGCTTGATCAACTTGGCAAGACCTCGTCTCTACAATACATCAAAAAATTAGCCAGGATTGGTGGCATGCTCCTGTGGCTCCAGCTGCTTGGAAGGCTGAGGTAGAAGGATAACCTGAGCCCAGCAGATTGAGGTTGTGGTGGCCATGAGCGTGCCACTGCACTCTTCCCAGGGTAACAGAGTGAGACTCCAACTCAAAAAAATAAAAATAAAAAATTGAGGATTTTATATAAGTACTTATATAATGAGAAAGAAAAGAAACTTCAACAAAATTTGTATTGACTAAGTTAAAATGTAGTAATAATTGAGGTTACTTTTTAAAAATAAGTATATATTTTTTCACTGGCCAGGTGTGGTGGCTCATTCCTGTAACCCCAGCACTTTAGGAGGCCAAGGCAGGAGGCTTGCCTGAGCCCAGGAGTTCAAGGACAGCCTGGGAAATATAATAAGACCTCATCTCTACACCACCCCAAAATTAGCTGGGTGTGGTGGCACACACCTGTAGTATTAGCTACTTGGGATGCTGAGGTGGGAGGCTTCCTTGAGCTCAGGAATTCAAAGCTGCAGTGAGCTGTGATCATGACATTGCATTCCAGTCTGGGTGGCAGGATAAGATCCCAACTCAAAAAAAAAAAAAAAAAGTTTACTAATGAGAAGAATGAAAATTTTTTTTTGGGGAAAAGATTGTATTTTGCTTAATTGGGGTTCAAACCATCAAAATTAATGCAAATGTTCACCTGCTAATGTCTGCCTGTAATGAGACTTTATATTTCAATACAATAGAACTGTTTTTAATGAGATTTATAATTAAAATGTCTTTTCAAACAGGTAGCAGAGAAAAAATATCATTGTATAATAAACATAATCCTTAGTCATCTAATTCAATAATAAAATAATTCCCACTCCATTGTGCCTTAAAAGTGTGATGCTAAGAGTCCATTTTTCTTTTTTCTTGGTTTGACATGATGACCATATACTGACAATAATTTTTTATGCTATGGTGTTATTCATGGCACTCAAAAACATTACTGCATTATAATTGTGTCACTGTGATCTGTGGTGTATCAAGCAGCAGTGTGAAGTGATGAAAGTTATTTCATAAAGAAAGTTTGCTGCAACTACTCAACTCTGGTTCTATAGTGTAAAAGCATACATTAGCATATGTCAACAAACAAATATGGTTGTGTTTCAATCAAATTTTATTTACAGACACTAAAAATCTGAATTTTATGTAATTTTTCACTTCATGAAATATTATTCTTCTTTGGATTCCTTTTTAGCCATCAAAAACTACTTTTAGCTCATAGGCTACAAAAACAGGCCATGGGCCATAGTTTGCTGGCCCCAGAACTGTATGATACAGGTACATATATTCTCACCTTCTGGCAAGTTGCCTCAATTGTTCAGCACACTCATTGTCTGATTTCTGGTTTATAAGTTCAAGAATGTTCATGGTTCTATGAAAATGTCCACAAGATAAACTGACACTAACAGCTGTTTCATGTTTGTCTCCAGTGAGTACCCATACTTTGATACCAGCCATTCTTAATGCTTCAATAGTTTCTCGAACTTTATCTTGTAGTCTGAAAAGAAAATAAATAAATTGGTAGTAGAGAACACTTTTCTGACTATATTTTAAGTTAAACTATTCTGACTGTATACTAAATTAAACTATATATATATAGTTTATATAGTATATAGCATATGTAAGGTAAATTCTAAACTCCTTGACCTAGGGATGTTATAATACAGCAATATAACTGGAATTTTCTATTAGGAAAGAAACAAAAATAAAAAGATTAGTGATTATCTGGCTAACAACAACAAATCAACCAATTAAAATCTACAACTTCTTATTTTAAAAGTATACATTCAAGGTTGACATTTATTTTAATAGGATGTCTTAAATTTCAAATCAGTAGATTTTTCTCTTTTTGTGAAGAAAAACCTCTCAAAGCACTCAGAGTCCAAAAATCAGACTGTAGAAAACAAAGCGGTACATAAGGTGAGCCTTAATAAATCTCATAAGGGTAAATGAAAACATAAGATTTAAAATATGCAAATATCCTCAGATCTAGGTGGTAGAAAAAAAAATAACAACAAACTTCATTTATAGAATTCAATCTAACTCATAAAATTCAATTTAACTCAAGAAACTATAAAACAGACACTGAGATAAATGCTGGGGAACAAAAATGAAAAATAAATGGATTCCAAGGAATTCACAGGCTAACAGAGGAAAAGGTCTTTAAACAAATAATTATAAAACAGTGCCACAAGGACAACAACAATAACTACTACAGTGAGACTTCACAAACAAAAGAATTTCTAATCCTCCTGGGTGTCAAGAAAGGCCTTACTGGAGTGGGGCTAATATCTGAGTCATACTTTATGACAGGTATTCACAGATGGATAGAGATGGGAAGAATCACCTAGGCGGAAGGCACAGCCTTACCCAGGAACAAAGGGACAGCATAGACTAGTTTTAACTATAGCTGGCATGCAGAGAACTACAGACAATTTGGTATTGTTGAACTAAAGTAGAAAGGGACAGTGGTGGGAGGTGAGGCTGGAGAATTAAGCAGGAGCTTAAAGTCTTTGCATGGCACCCTGAAGAGTATTCTAAAAATTCAAGCCTATAGGGAAAACTATAGATAGATGGTTTCTTGCATCTATTTCGGATACCTGGTTAGAAAAAATATTGCATATATTGACAGGGAAAAAATAAGACTTTAATTCTCATTTTGATTTTAAATATAATTATTTATCACAAGATGTTAATAAATAGGACTTATGTCATATATTAGAAACACACAGAAAAATTATTATGAGAGAAAAATGATACTGCTTACTTAGCTGATACTCACCTGTCTTCCACAGCTGTAGCTCCCAGTAAAACCAGATCTTTCTCTATGAACTGGAAGACATCTGCCAATTTTTCTTCCCGTTGCTGTAAGGCAGTTCTTGCTTCAAATAGACGTCTATCTATTTCCTCATACTCTTTTGATGTAAATTGTCTATAGGCTATACACAGAGTTCTTAGCCCTTTCTAAACAAAATTTAAAGACAAAAATTGAACACAAATAAATAATGGAAAATCAAGAAGTCACTGAAATAAACTGAGGACCTATTGCCAAAATCAATTACAAATCATTTAAAGCACCATCTGCTAGTGATAGGAAATAAATCAAGTGTCACAAAGCCCTATTGATCTGTGTTATGGGGCACATATCATAGATCTTTCAATTTCTGAGTTCCTAAAAAGCTGCTCAAAATGATTAAAGTCGCCGGGCTCGGTGGCTCAGCCTGTAATCCCGCATCTTTGGGAGGCTGAGGGGAGTAGACTGCCTGAGCCCGTAGGTTTGAGACCCTCCTGGGCAGCGACACCTCATCTCTACAATAAATCAAAAAATCAGCCGGGCGTGGTAGTGCATGCCTGTAATTCCGGCTACTTGGAAGGCTGAGGCAGAAGGATCACCGGAGCCCAGCAGGTCGAGACTGCGGTGGTGGGAGCAGCCACTGCACTTCAGTCTGGGCAACCGAGTGAGACTCCAACTCAATAAATAAATAAATAAATAAATAAAGTCATTGAATTGTAGGATATTAGAGTCCAAAAAGGATCATAAAGACTATATTATTTGTGGTTAAAAAATTATGGTACATCAAAGGTCAGAAAGTTCTATGATGCGACCTTCAGGATTATCCAGACAGCCTGCAGGTTCTACTCTCCTGCTTTTAACTTACAAACCCACTTTTTTATACTTTACAAGGTTGTTTTTTTTTTTTTTTTTAAGCAAAGCCGATCATAATTTCCTGAGGATTCATTGTATGACAAAACTGACATAAAATAAAGAAGTCTGTAAATGGCTACTTTTCAACACATGATGCTTTTCAGATGTATCAAATGAATGATTTTAAATAATATCATTAAATCTTTATCAGTGAATTGGAATCAGAATTATCTGATTTTACTGGGCTCAAAGTTTTCTTTTGGTATTAATCTCTGAAAGTTTATATCTAAATCTAAAGACATATATAAGTTCCTTTTCTTGCTATATGTTTTCCTCAGAAAAACCTGTAACAAATGTTCTAATAAAAAAACTTAGAAAGGGTGAATTTTAAAATATAATATAGAACTATTTAGCAGTTTTCTAAATATTGGTATTCTCTCACTTATAAAAGACTCACACCTAGAAATAACTGTTTTTCTTAATTAACTTATCTGTGACTGCTAACATCAACTTATGTCATTCCTAGTTATTTTCCTGGTTGCCACTGATGTGAATTCACCTCATCGTGGAAGACTGTCTTTTCAGGTTTATAATCCGAATAAAAATACAAAGTATGGAATGCTAGTCAGTGGTGTCTGAGGCAAATACTGGATATGTCTGCAACTTTCAGCTGTATTGTGAAAAAGGTGACAATTTAGAAAAGACCATTTCATTGTGCTTAATGACAGAAGTCTGAGGCAATCAGCTTCAGATTTTTTAAAATTTTCAACCACTTAGTATTAGGGAAGTGAAAAATTTGCTGGTCATGAACGTGTTAACAATTAAGGAGTCATTAGTTATTAATATTAATATATCATTCATTCATTCATTCTGCAACACTTACTGAGAACCAACTATGTGCTAGCATTGTTCTGAATATTAAAATGGTAGTAAGGTAGAATAATGTCTTTGTTACAGTATGATGGGTTAACTGGATCATACACAATTGGGAAAAAAGTAATGGGAGAAAAGGAATAATAAATTAGTAAAGGAGGAGATGAGCAGAGATGACTATGGAGTATACACTTACAGACATGCAAAAATGAGAGATGATGAGGTTCTAAGACTGAGAGAGCGCTGGTTAATGATTTTGGTGTTCACTTAAATTATGGGTCTTTGTTTTGTAAGATTCTCCTCTATTCTTTTACTTTTTAAATAACAGAGACATCATTTACAGAACATAAAATTCATCCCTCTCAAGAGTACAAATACACTCTTAGTATATTCACAGGGTTGTGCAATCATCACCACCACCTAATTTCAGAACTTCTCATCCCCCTCACAATGACTCCTTTTTCTCCCTTTCCTCCAGCCCCTACAACCACTAATCTGCTTTCCCTCTCTTTGAATCTGCTGATTCTGAATATTCTATATAAATGTAATATGTGGCCTCTGTGACTAGTTTCTTTTACTCAGCATAATCTTCAAGATCCATCCACGTCGTAGCATATTATCAGTACTTCACTTCTTTTAACGGCCAAATAATACCCCAGTAAATGGATATACCACATTTGGTTTATCCATTCATCAGTTGGAATTTGGGTCTTTCCATTTTTTCGCTGTTAAAAAAAATGAATGCTTATGAACACTCATGTGGAAGTTTTTGTGAGGGTGTGCTTTCAATTATCTCGAGAGTGCATCTAGGAGTGGAACTGCTTGGTCATATGGTACCTCTATGTTTACCTTCTGAGGAACTGCCAGACTGTTGTTCAAAGTGGCTGCATCATTTATTATCCCACCAGTAATATATATATTGAGGGGTCCAGTATCTCCACATAATAAGGATTCCCTTATATTCTGTTCATAACACCCTTTTTTAGTAGTGTAGTTTGTGCAGTCCTTGCAACCAGAACTGGCCTGAATGTAATAGGTTTGAAGAGAAGACTCATATCTTAGCAAGTTAAGAGTAAGTTTTTAACACAAGGAATGTGGAGCCAACACACAGTGTAACAAAGCTGCAAAACTGCTATAATTTATCATACATTATTAATAAAAAATGAAGCCCCAAATAGTTCATTAATAGATCTTTTACATCACTTTAAATCATAGGAATTTGCACTCACCAAAGCAAACTCATCTACATGAATTCTGGTTTTTTCTACTTCTCCACCTATACATCTTGGGAGAATTGATGATTCAGCTCCTTTAGCAAATAGTAACTTCTCACCTAAAAAGAAAAAATGAGTCATCAAGCTCTTAATATTAGTAAAATAAAAATTTATGAAAGTTTACATTGGTTACCTGAAGGTGCCTGAACAATTACACTCATTCTCCTACGATCTGAATCAAATTCCAGAATATGAAGCAATTTGTATCTAAAGAAAGAAAATAAGAAAGACAAAAACTTTATTTTTTAAAATACTATTAAGTTACTATAGAAAGAATTCCTATAAAATGGCTAATTTAGAACAAGAAACTGATCAACTACATTTTCAAGATGATGAGTTATGAGCCATTAAAAACAGAATAGAAATAGAAGGAATCGACATTGAGTACTTCCTAAATGCCATTTACTTTACATACCTTATGTTACATACCTTATGCCAAGGAAGTAGGTCTCACCTCATTTTTATAGACAAAACCCATTAAACTCAGAAAAACGGAATAATTTGCTAAAGTCAATTAAGGTTATAAGTGGCAGAGCAAGATCGGAATCCAGATCTGTCCAGCTCCACTTAAGGTGATTAATTCTTAATCATTTTTCTGTCCTAATACACCTGACAAATATGAGTATAACCCACCCTCATTAGTATCAGAGGCTCATTATAGTAGTGATTATGAAGCTGGGTGCATGTGTGCAGGGGTGGAGAGGTGGTGACAAGTGCTACTCTAGGGAGCTGTACACGAATTTGTGTGGATAGGTGAGGTAAGGCTTGATAAGTCTTTCGGATGAATCTTACACAATGATGCACAGAGGAAATGCTTTGCACATTTCAAAGAAAAACAATGGCTTGAGTGATGGTTTATAAGTTCATGAAATTAGTTAGACAATCTCTCACATGGAAGTAGCCAAAGAATGGGGTTCTTTAGTATAGAAGAACAAGTTTGGAAAAGCATAGTTGGAGTTGAGACATAATCAGAATTGATAAAACCATGAAAAGTGTAAGTATAATAAGCAAGGGCTGTTATTAAAGAGTGGAACTATTAGAAATACACAGCTGTTTCTTAATGTTTGAAAGAAAACTATCATTGGAAACATAAGGAAAGTTTTCTTTATCCAGTGAGTAGAAGAGACCCATTACCCCAGGAGAGTTTAAAAATAAACAGTTAAGTAAATTCAAGAATCAATAAGCTAAAATACAGATGTAAGATTCAGAGCAGAATAGTGTTATAACTATGATGAGATGCAATGTAATGTTGACATATTCTAGAGTAGAGTTTAGTAAACATTTTCTGTAAAGGCCCAGATAGTACATATTTTAGGCTTTGCAGGCCATACATAGTATCTGTGGCATATTCTTTCTTTTTTTAAAACAAGCCTTTAAAAATGTAATTTGTAGGTTGTACAAAAACAAAAAAAAAAATATGTTACAATGTGTGAACAAAATTACCGTTCCAGTTTTCCAAGTGTTTTAACTTCCATCGTTTCTTCAGAATTGCCAATAAATACAACACCAATCCTAGGGATAAAAAGAACAAAGAGATATAAGACTTAAGAAATGATATTCCACAGCTGGGTGTGGTGGCTAATGCCTGTAATCCCAGCACTTCGGGAGGTGGAGGCAAGAGAATAGCCTGAGCGCAAGGGTTCGAAATCAGTCTGGGCAACTTGAAGAGACCTTGTCTCTACAATCAAAAGAATTAGCTGGGCGTGGTGGTGTGTGCCTGTGGTTCCAGCTACCTGGAAGGATGAGGTAGAAGGATTTTCCATACCTGGCAGGTCAAGGCTGTGGTGGCCATGAATGTGCCACTGCACTCTAGTAGGGGCAACAGAGTGAGACTCCAATTCAAAAAATAAGACAGTTCATATTGTACAATGTGTCATTACAGCTAAGTCTGAACAAAATCATTTAAAATTTATTTAAATGTACTTAAAAGTATTTCCTTTTAATAACCACTGCTTTTGGTGGAGCATAGTGGCTCACGTCTGTAATATCAGTACTCTGGGAGACCGAGGTGGGAGGATCACTTGAGACTAGGAGTTTGAGACTAGACTGGGCAATACAGTGAGTCCCCATCTTTACAAAAAAAAAGAGAAAATTAACAATTAGCTGGGTGTGGTAGCACATGCCTGTAACACCGGCAATTTATGAGGCTGAAGTCAAAGAGTCACTTGAGCCCAGGAATTCAAGACTGCAAGAGTTGTGATCGTGCCACTGCACTCCAGCCTGGGCAACAGAGTGAGACCCTGCCTCAAAAAAAAGAAAAGAAAAAAGAATATATATATCTCATTACTTTTAAGAACTAGAAGGATCAGAGTTTGTGTGGTACAATATATGCACAAGTATTTCATATGAATTTTATTGCACAGATTTCATAGTAATAAGATTGTTAAAGAGATCTTAAAAAATATGACTCAATATGAGCTTGGTAACGAAATTATTGACACATTTCAAAATCTCATTTACAATGCACTTCTACTTTTATGTGTTTATATGAATTGACAACTTAAAATTATAAATTTATGTTTGGAAATTTTAAATGATGATCCTTTAATGCTCTAACATTTATTTAAAAGATGTTTTTCTGAAGATTTTGAAATCAGACTGTATTACCTTGCAGCAGCTTCTACTAGTGCCTTCTCATCTGGCGAAGATGCGTAGTACTCCAAGTGGGAGGGTGCCAGGTTGGACTGCCAGGGACCATCACCAAAGCAGTCAGCCTGAACATTGCTAATCTGTACAGTGTGACAGAGACTGACTGCTTTAAAAAAGAGATCATGTTCTTTAACCTGCAGAAATATAATAACATTCATGATAAAAATACCATTTCAGAAACCAGAAACAGCATCCTAAGATCTAGAACAAGAATGTTATAACCTTGAGTGCCTGAATAATAGCTGGTTGTTTCCACCTTCAAAAAGAGAAATGTCACATTTGTTTAGAAACCTTTAACACAGGAGCATCTTTTTAGGAGGCATAACCAAATTGCAAGTAGAGGGAATATTCTTTTGTGGAAAAAGTGAGGTCTTTAGTATTAAATAAATTTAAGCTCTATTTCACTTCAAGGCAATAGAGCTTTTCTTAATTCAGTTCCATTTAAATACTCAGAGAGCGAATGCAGACACATATTAAACGATGAGTTTGGGCCAGGCACGGTGGCTCATGCCTATAATCCCAGCAGTAGGCAACATAGTGAGACCTCGTCTCTACAAAATCAAAAAATGAGCTGGGTGTCGTGGCATGCACCTGCAGCCCCAGCTCCTTGGGAGGATGAGGTGGGAGGATTGCTGCAGCTCAGGAGTTTGAGACCCTGACTTAAAAAAAAGAAATGACAAGTTAATCTGGGCTATAACTACAAATACTCAGCATTGTATTTTGTAGTGTTGAATCTAAGATATACAATTCAAATATATAGTACTCGCTGCACTGATACAAACTTTTCCTACAACCCAACAACTACTGAAGAGAATTATTTAACATGAAATCCTTATTTATTAGTTTAAAAATTACTTACTAGTTCAGTTTCATTTTCAGGACTGGTTCTAAAAGAACTGGTTGTAAGATGGGCTAAGTTGTTAAGATGGGATAAACTACTAAGGTAAGATAAGTTTCCTTCTGAAGAGTCTGGTGTTGGTCCTTCCGGTACAAGTCTACCATTGATTTCTTGGAATTTCATGCCATTAATTGAACATTCCCGAAACTGCATCTCATTTTCTGTCAGTGTACCAGTTTTATCTGTAAACACATACTCCACCTAGAAAGATAGAAAACAAAGAAAATAGACCTTTGTGTTCATGGCACTACATTAAACAACAACAAAATACTTGTCCTCTCTCTCTGGAAGTCAAGTTTACCTATTAACATTGATATATGGATGCTAAAATTCTTATCATCCAAACACAATAAAGTCATAAAGATGGTAAGGAAACAAAACAGGGTAACACAAAATATTTTAAATCTACATACACTTTGATGTCTGCGGCATTTTTAGATACATGATCATCTGTAGAGTTACCTAAGAATGTGGCATTAGAACTTCTTTTCTATACCTTAACTAAAGTGTTTTTAAGTAGTAGGACTCAATAATTATCTTTGAAGAAAGGGTAGAAAGGATGCTTAATAATCCAGAACATGAAAGGGTATCTCTGGGCCAGGAGAAATGGTATGGCGCTAGGAATAGGAATACAAAATGATAGCAACACAAGAAAGTTAGAGGTGAACAGGCATATAAAATAGAAAGACAAGGTTGAACAGGGCAGAAAAGAAACTTAGTGAAAGAAACTGAATGTTTAAAAGGAAAAACAATTTTTTAAAAGTAGATAAGACAAACAATTTTAATACTTTTGGAAATTAATTCCAGAAATTTTATTTTATTTTTTGAGTTGGAGTCTCACTCTGTCGTCCAGACTGGAGTGCAGTGGCATGCTCCTGGCCACCGCAGACTTGACCTGCTGGGCTCCGACAATCCTCCCGCCTCAGTCTTCCAAATAACTGGAACTACAGGCATGTGCTACCACGCCTGACTGATTTTTGATTTATTGTAGAGATGAGGTCTCACCAAGTTGCCCAGGTAGGTCTCGAACTTGCGGGTTCAGGCAATCTACTTGCCTCGGCCTCCCAAAGTGCTGGGATTACAGACTGAGCCACCGAGCCTGGCCCAGAAATCTTATTTTAAAAGAAGGTATGTCAGGCTGTGCACGGTGGCTCATGCCTATAATCCCAGCACTTTGGGAGGCCAAGGTGAGAGGACTGCCTGAGCCCATGGGTTTGAGACCAGCCTGGGCAGCTTGGCAAGACCTCATCTCTACAATGAATTTAAAAAAAGTAGCTGGGCATGGTGATGCATGCCTGTGGCTCCAGCTACTTGGAGGGCTGAGGTGGAAGGATCGCCTGAGCCCAGCAGGCCGAGGCTGTGGTGGCCATGAGCATGCCACTGCACTTGAGTGAGACCCTGACTCAAAAAAAAGAAAGAAGGTAGGTCTATGAAGAGAAGAATATAACAGTCAAGTCTTGATCCAACCAGGATAATGATGAGGATTTGAACACTGCAATAATTATTTAAAAAATAAATTCTTTAAAAAGATAGGCAGACATCACAAGAGAAGAACAAACTATACACCAACATCCCTTATAAATACACACAAACCAAATCCAGGAACAAGTAAAAAAGGATTTTATACCATGTGGGACTTAGCCCAGGAATGCAAGATTGATTCAACATTTTAAAAAATGTTACTCACTATATTAATAAAGTGGTACTTACTTATTCTGCTAATAAAATTATATTCTATTCTATTAGAGTTCATTTTAGTAAAGAATTTTTCTATCATTTATGGTATTAATTGATAATTTATTCTTTTAATTCTAATCTATTATATTAATTACTCTATAAAATAGAATATTTTATTATTCTTTATTCTATTAATAAAATAAGCATCTCAATAGATGTAGAAAAAGCACTTAACAAAATCCAATACCTTTCATGATAAAAAAACATTCAACAAACTAGGGATGGAAGGGAACTTCCTCAACTTGTTAGAAGTTTTCTACAAAAAAATCTCCTAACATATACTTTACAGAGAGAGACTGAATGTTTTCCTCCTGAGATCAGGAATAATAAAAAGATGCCTAGTCGGGCACGGTGGCTCACGCCTGTAATCCCAACACTTTGGAAGTTCAAGGCAGGAGGATCACTTGAGCCCAGAAGTTTGAGACCAATGTGGGCAACATAGCAAGATTTTGTCTCTACAAAAAGTCAAAAAATTAGCTGGGCGTGGTGGCATGTGCTGGTAGTCCCAGCTACTCAGGAGGCTGAGGCAGAAGAATCGCCTAAGCTCAGGAGATCAAGGCTGCTGTGAGTTGTTATTGTGCCACTGCACTCCAGCCTGGGCAACAGACTGAGACTCTGAAAGAAGAGATTTTCTGCTCTTGCCACGTTAATTCGACATCATACTTAAGGTTCTAGCCATGGCAATGAGGCAAGAACAAAGAAATAAAAGTTACCCTAATTGGAAAAGAAGAGGTAAAACTATTTCCAATGATTCAATGAGGTTGGTATTATGTACATTCTAGAGAAGAGGAAACTAAGGAGGAGTAGGATTATGTAACTTATCCAAAGTCAAAGAGCTAATAAGTAAATAGTGAAACTGGAAATAGGAGATAACATACTTTACCTTTGCTATCTGATATCTATAGTACATGTTGAATTGGAATTTAAATGTGGGTAGAGAGAAATATCACTTACCTATATAATAAGAGAAAATTCTTTTAGATCAAGAAGAATAAGAGATGATATTATGATATACATTAGCAGTCAAACAGAAATAATAGTCCAGAGATGGTTAGAATAGAGTCTGACCTAACTTTGAAAAAAGATATTAACTTTGGTTTTTAAAATATAGTATATACAAAATCAAGAAGTTTAATCTTTTAACTTTGATGACGTCATTATTGTAAACCTTCATAAGAGCTTTTCTTGGATAACATGGAAATGAAAGGACATATAAGAGTGTGAGATAAAGTAGATTTTATTGGTACAAAAATCAGAATAGTAATAGAAGCAATAAACATACATAAAACACTTAGTCTTAAAAGTAAAGAGAAAAGCTGAGAGGATTAGAAATTAAAGAAAGTAATCACTAAAAGTTTCTTAAAGAGAAAGTAGTTATAGATAGGTACATACAGTATGAGATTCCAGAAAGAAAATTCTATCATTAAGCAAAAAGGAGGAGAAGAAGCTTGAGATAGAAAAGGTCAAAGGCAGACTGGAAAAAAAATTGTTCAGAAAAGTAAAAATGGGCTATGTGTTAGGTTTTGAATACGTGATATATAATTAAAGAAATGTGACACGAATTGCTATTTGTTATCTACAGCAAATGTTATATAGCAAAATTTATTAAAGCCTTTTAAATGCTACTAAAAATAAATGGATCAACTTCTGGTTAATCATGGCAGGCTGAGCACATGCAGTTATCTCTGTTTCTCTTGAAATGTCCCCACAGTGAGAATAAAGAACAAAAATAATGGTTAAAAAAAAGTCAGCATCAGAGGGGAAATTGTAAGATGGAAAGATGGAAAGGAGATGAGTGAGTGGTAACTGATTTCCCACAACTCAGAATCTGAAACCCAAGCAATGAGGAAACCCATTCCCAGACACTCTCAGGAAGCAGGTACACCAGCTACCTTGAATCTGGGAGTACAGAATGGGGCTGAAAATGGGGTATTAAGAAGCAGTTTTAAATCCTGAAAACCCTTGTAACTTGCAAACTTGAGACTGCATCTTATTCATCGGAGCAATAGCTAGAAGGATTTATGCCCTATGGAACCAGAGGGAATGTGGAGTCCATGGACGACTGAAAACAGAGGTGAGACAGTGCACTAAACAGAGATTTCTACTGGCCAGCTCTAGCATTATAAGCAGCAGAAATAGTACCTGTAGTATTTCTCTCTGGGGAAATTGAAAAAATACCAATAAACACTGATGTCTAGGGAATATACCATAAAACAGCTTGCCTGCAAGCCCATTGAATAAAAAGTTTCTAATAAGCATATTAGTGCCTTATTTTTTAAACTTAAAATGGGCCAGGCAAGGTGGCTCACTCCTATAATCCCAGCACTTTGGGAGGCTGAGGTGAGAGGGTTGCCTAAGCCAGTTTGGTCAACTTGGCGAGACCTCATCTCTACAATAAATCAAAAAAATTAGCCAGGCATGGTGGAGCACGCCATGCCTGTAGTTCCAGCAACCTGGAAGGCTGAGGCAGAAGGATCGCCGGAGCTCAGCAGGTTGAGGCTGCGGTGGCTGGGAGTGTGCCACTGCCCTCCAGCCTGGGTGACAGAGTGAGACTCCAACTCAAAAAAAAAAAAAAAAAAAAAAAAATTTAAATGACAGCTAAAGATTAGTGTTCTTTCAAAGATTTTTTCGTACATGAAAGGTAGAGTTGAAAACAATTTACCATCAGTGCTGCTATAACACTGTCTTGAAAATACTAATTTGGCTGGGCATGGCAACTCATGCCTGTAATACCAGCACTTTGGGAGACCGAAGTGAGCTGACTGCCTGAGCTCAGGGTCCAAGACCAGCCTGAGCAACATGGTAAGACCTCATCTCTACAATAAACCAAAAATTAGCTGGATGTGGTGGCACATGCCTGTGGTTCTAGCTACTTGGAAGGTTGAAACCAAAGAATCACCCGAGTCTAGCAGGTTGAGGTTGCGATGGCTATGAGCATGCCACTGCACTTCAGCCTGGGGGACAGAGTGAAACTCCAACTAAAAAAAAAACAAAAACGCTAATTTATTCCAATGTAGTTTATATATAAGGGTACAATTTGAGCACAATACAAACTTGTGTTTCATTATACACAATTTTGTCTATAAGAAACACGAAGCGAGACCTCATCTCTACAATAAAGCAAAAATTAGCCAGCTGTGGTAGCGCGCGCCTGTAGTTCCAGCTATTGGAAGGCTGAGGTGGAAGGATCGCCGTAGCCCAGCAGGTTGAGGCTGTGGTGGCCGGGAGCGGCCACTGCACTCCAGTCTGGGTGACAGAGTGAGACTCCAACTCAAAAAAAAAAAGAAACACTAAGTGAATTCAGAAAACTACATACTAGCTGCATAAGACTAAGAATACATGAAATGCACAAACTTCAAAACTGCTACTAGCTACTTCGGTTCGTCATGTGTTGTGAGGCTCACTCGTCCACATCAGGTGTTTTAACTTTCCTTCTGATTTCAGACAACCTTCTTTCTAATACTTTAAAATAACACAAGATTGCAACCCTTCTGATGCCTACTTTTTACAAGCAAGCTTTAGATCTTTTCAAGATAAGTGCCATATTTATTATAATATTTGTATATTTCTTAACAATTTGGCAAGTGCAGTTTTTATTAAGTTCAACCTTTTTAAACGTGTTCTTGATAATGTTTTGGGGTTGTACTCCTAATACCATTCTCCCATAAGCTCTTTGGTTTTGTTGCTTTTTTTTTGTTTTTTTTGAGTCGGAGTTTCACTCCATCTTCCAGGCTGGAGTGCAACAGCACACTCATGGCCACCCAACCTGCTGGGCTTAGGTGAGCTCTTTTTTTTACTAGGCAATTGTTCACAGTGCAGTGATTTTTAAGGAATGCATATGTCATATTATAACAGAACTGACTGTTCTGGAAAAGGAATGAGAGGCAAACGAAGATAATGGAGGGAGCAGAGATGACTTTAAATCATCTAGTACATTAATATATTCAAAGAGGTAAAAGGACAGATTACAGTCAAGAAACATGAATAAAAGGCAATTTAAAAAACGATTCAGAAAATACTGAAATATTAGAAGTTAACAACATTAATGCAGAATAAAAGAAAACAAAAGATAGGTGAAGAGATAAAGCTGAGAAATTTTCCTAGGAAGTAGAAAATAAAAACATTTAAAGGAAAATGGAAAATTGAAGAGAGTTAAAGTATCATTATAAGTGGTCTGACATCTAAATAGTTAAGTTTTTTAAAAAAAAATAGAAAGACTTATCAAAGAAATAATGCAAGAACATCTCTAAAATTGAAGGACATGTACTTCCAAACTGAAGGGACTCACAGAGTTCATTACCTATGAAAGAAGAAGAAAAAACAAACACCAAGGTAACATCATAAAATTTCAGAATTATCGCATAAATAGAAGACCCTAAAAGTTTCCAGAGATAGGCTGGGCTCCGTGGCTCAGCCTGTAATCCCAGTGCTTTGGGAGGCCGAGGTGAGCGGATTGCCTGAGCCCGCGGGTTCGAGACCCGCCTGGGCAACTTGGCGAGACCTCATCTCTACAATAAATCAAAAACTACTGGGCGTGGCAGCACGCGCCTGTAGTTCCAGCTACTTGGAAGGCTGAGGCGGAAGGCTCGCCGGAGCCCAGTAGGTGAGGCTGCGGTGGCTGGGAGCGGCCACTGCACTCCAGTCTAAGCGACAGAGTGAGATTCCAACTAAAAAAAAAAAAGTTTCCAGAGATTAAAAAAACAGTTCACACATAAAGAACTGGGAATCAGAATGGTATTGAATTTCCCAACAGCAACACTGGAAGCTAGAAAACAATGAAGAAATGTTTTCACATTTTTGAGGAGAAATGATTTCCAATCTGGAATGCAATACCCAACTAAATTATTAATCAAGTGTGTGAAGAGACTAAAGATATTTTCAGACACACAAAGTTTCAAAATATTTTCCCATCATATCTCCTTTATCAAGAAGTTATTAGAGGATGTGCTGCACCAAAATGAGGGAAGTCAGAGGTGGGAAGATGTGGGATGCGGAAACCGAAAATCCAAATCAGGAGATGGGTAAAGAGAATTTCCAGGGTGATGGTAACGGGAAATGCAGAGTGACAGCTAAGAAGCAGGCCCATAAAGAGTAAGTCCAATTGGAGCAGGAAGATAAAAGCTAACACCAAAAAAAGGAAGAGGATGAGGGAGGAGGAAAGGAACTCTCAGATTACCTGATGCGTTTGCTTAGGTAGAGAGGTACTGCATATATTGTCAGAGACTTGTTTGAGGTATATGGAAATTAAGCAAGTGAAAAAACAGAAATAACTCTAAGGAAAACAAAAACTATAAGGAAGGAAATGTAGTTATAGTACTACCAGGTACACATATAAAACAGGGAATAGTGAACAATATTAGAACAGTCATAATAATGTCAATAAATAAATGTAGATTAAATGCAAATTGCAATTTAACAATATTAGGAGGCTGTGGAGAAGCAAAGAGAGCATGTCTGGGGGAATGATAAGTGTAAGAGCTATGTCTTTATAGTCCTTCGATAATGTATAAACTTAAGAATCAAGGGAGGGCACACCTCATCAACAAGGGTACCTGCATAATGAGCATTTGTATACCTAATCCTGAATTGTACCCCACATATTTAAAATTTTAAAAAAAGAATCAAGAAAAAACACCATATAGAAATATACTGGTAAATGGAAAAAACAACTTAAGATTAAAAAATCAGAAATAGGAATTAGGAGCAAAAGCAGGGCTATATAAGGTTCATAATATCTTCTGTTATTTAGTCTTTGTACATGAATTGCTTTAATAAAAACAACAAATTAGAAAAACAATGTCAAAAGCATTTTCACCTGTCCAAGCTCTTCATTCAGATCGGAAGTATTGACTTGAGCTTTCTGATCTGATTCTTCATGATACAGATCAAGATCCCAGCCAATAAAAAAAGATCCAAGAAATTTCTGCATTTCAACTGTCACATATAATGAAATTGGAATGATGAAATTGTAGAGTACCAAAAAAGCAAGGAAGTCCGAAATAAATCTCAGAATCTAGGAAAAAAGAAGAAAATACACAAGAATTTTTTCAGTATCACTGGAGAAAATTATCAGAAAGTTTCGTGTAACTATATCCTGAGGTAGAATAGTCTCTCATGAATTGAAATTCATCTACTGAACTGTCTTTTTAACATTGCATTTCCTCTGGTTATTTTACTGCTCATTAGAATCTTAACCAAAGAAAAGGTTAAATCCAAATTAATTTGTTACTTTTCAAAATTTAACAAAAAGTCTGGTGTGACTGAAACTTCTTTTGACAAAATTATAATCTCTGAAGAGTATTTATCCATTTGACTTCTACCCTTTTAAAACACAGATAACTAAAAATTGAATGTAACTTTTAAAAACTATAAAATAGTTGCTGGGCTAGAGTTGCTAGAAACTAAAACTCTCAAGTACAGATCACACAGCAACAGCCTACTTAATGGCTTAGCAGCACTACATTTCAATATGCATTCTGTGAAAGGAAGAGTACCTAATCGTGAATGAAACTGAAAAATATGACCCTCAGATTATCTGCTTTGTAGTTTCCTGAGATCACAATTTGTCTTCCAACAAGTGCATTTTAATCTAAAGTGAAATGTGGAGATGATTTACCAAAATTGTAGGTTAAATTCTCTTGGTGGTCCATATTTAATCAGTTCAAAACTTTATATGACATAATTAGTATATTGTTTCATATCATTAAAACTGACAATAAGAATCCTTGAATTATTCAGGCAAAATAAAAAATAAATCAGTTTACTCTTTAAATCATTCAGGATAAGATACAGTAAGAGGAATAGAAAACTGAATTTGCAGTATTGATGTGGAATGCAAATAGAGACGGATTTAAGATTCTGTGACTTCTTTGAACTATTCAAGTCATGCCACAGGGAATGCGACTGCGTATGCCCTAAATTGCAAAAAAGTATACCATGACAAACATGCTGGTTTCTTTGCATTTGCAATGCCATTTTGTCACCCTTCAGTACTAATGGTTTTAGAAGTCACAGTAGTCCCACCAAACAGAAGTCACTATCAAAGCATTAACTATGTCAAAGAATAAAGTTTCCTTTACAGGAGTCAAGAACACCATAAAATACCTTACTACTATTTCTCTGATGTTCTGTTTTTTGGTTATACCAAGGTTCATCCCATTTTTCTTCAGCTTGCCATGCATATTTCAAGATAGTGCTGATGATGGCTTCAGAAATAAGAATTATTAGATAAATTATCAAAAATGTATTCATTGACCTGAAACAAGAAAAATATCAATCAAGTGTTATTATATTTGCCTGGAAATTGAGCCTTGTAGTAAGGAAGAAGATACTATATAAAGAAGATACTACTGTAGCGATTTTAAAGGACATAGTTTTTATATTTAAGAAATAACCATTCAATAGAATCTATTTACTAGAAATAAAAGAATCAATACATACAGATGATAAGCCTCACTATTTACTATAGCTATGTTACTGTTCAAAATGTTTATAGCAAATGACAGTTTTGGCCATTACTTTGCCATAAGTAATTATTCTTTGATTTTTTTTTTAACATTTTCAGCACCCATCTAATTATAAGTATGATAACTAAAAATAAGTAACATTTTTATAGCATTAAAATGTTATAAAACTTTTGTCATAGCCACTATTTTATATAATCTTTACAAAAACACTATGAAGAAGAAATTATTGCATCTTTTTTGCTGATGAAGACCAAAGTCCAATATCATCCTGTAAACTTCCCTAAATCACATAAGTCAGAAATTGACTTCAGAATCCCTCTTCTCTTTTGGGTAAGCTTGATGTCACACACCTTTGATTTTAGGTTTAAAAACATAAATTATTAATACAACTAAATATTTTATCATTTAAAAATTCAAACATATACAAAATAAACAGAATGGTATAATGAACCCCTGTGCATCCAACAAGTACTGAGGGAAAATACAGGTCACAGACTTTGTAAAAACTCCTAAAGACAGAAAAAAAATGCCTGATTCCTGATTTGTCTCCCTAGGTCTTCCATAATTCAGCCTTATCTTAACTATGCAATAAGTTGATATTCCACTATCTCCAATGTAAACTCTCTATATACTGTAGTGAGAGTAGGTGGGGAGTAAGGGACACAAGAAAAGAACTCTTCTCTGTTGAGTATTTTGTGTCAGGCACAGTATTCAGGACTTTACCTAGAGCAGCACTGCTCACATTTTTACAGATGAGAACATTTGGGAATGAAGAGAATGAAACAACTGGGCCAAGGTCACATAGTAAGCAGGTGATCTGAAGTTCAAATTCTACACCTGTCTCCAAATTATGAGATCTTTTCATTGAACTTGTCACGTCTCCTTTTGATAACATAATGCCACAATGCCTGGTATATTTCCATCTTTCTGCCTTTGTGCATGCCTTCCCTCATCAGATACGCTCTCCTTTTTGCTTACATTGTTTAACCTATTTTTCAAGGTTTAACTTAAAACCCATCACATGCCTAAAGTCTGTCTAATTACTTTAGTTTATATTCAATTTAAACTATTTAAATTTAAGACTAGTACCACAGTTCCTATTATTTAAGTTTTCATTTTATGTTAGTTTTAACTTTAAACTTGATGAAAACTCCAAAAGGAGAAGGAAGTCTCTTGAAGAAAACCTACCACAGCTACAGGTCCACAGAAAAATAAAGATTTCTGGATTGAGTTTTCTCAAGCAGAATTCAGTCAACTGTTTCAAAGTCTCCTATAGTTTCTGAATAAAACTTTAAAGTTGAGATGCTGATAAATCTTCTATTTTTACTAACGTATTACCTCTCACTAACGTCCCCTTCCCAATTGCAACTTAATATAACAAGTCTTCGACTTTACTTTTTAATAAAATATTTTAAAAAATAAAATGCTTTAGGAATTTGCATGTCATCCGTGTGCAGGAACCATGCTAATTCTTCTATCATTCCAATTTTAGTCTATGTGTTGCCAGAGTGAGCAAGCAAATCTTTTTTGTTTGTTTGTTTGTTTTGAGTTGGAGTCTCACTCTGTCGCCCAGACTGGAGTGCAGTGGCCGCTCCCGGCCGCCACAGCCTCGACCTGCTGGGCTCCAGCGAGCCTTCCACCTCAGCCTTCCAAGTAGCTGGAATTACAGGCATGCGCTACCACGCCCAGTTGATTTTTTTGATTTATTGTAGAGATGAGGTCTTGCTGCCCAGGCGGGTCTTGAACCCACGGACTCAGGCAATCCACTCACCTCAGCCTCCCAAAGGCACGGGATTACAGGCTGAGCCACCGAGCCCGGCTGCAAGCAAATCTTTTAAACTGAAAAACAAATTTTGACACAAAGAAATCTTATTGCAGAAAAAATTCAAACACATGCAAATAAACAGAATGCTATAATGAACCCTTATATGCCCAACATAACTTCAAAAACTAAACAATGTCTATCATTCTTTTTTTTTTTTCAGTTGGAGTCTCACTCTGTCATCCAGGCTGGAGTGCAGTGGCATGTACTCCAGGCATGTGCCACCACACTCGACTATTTCTGATTTATTATAGAGATGAGGTCTCTCCATGTTGCTCAGGTTGGTCTTGAACCCCTAAGCTCAGGGAATTCTCTCACCTCTGCCTCCCAAAACGCTGGGATTATAATACATTAAAAAAAAATTAGTTGGGCATGGTAGCGCACGCCTTGGAAGGCTGAGGCAGAAGGATCATTAGAGCCTGGCAGGTTGAGGCTGTGGTAGCCATGAGAGTGCCATGACACTGTAGCCTGGGGGATGGAGTGAGAGCCTGACTCGAAAAAAAAAATTTTTAATTCCATATATAGTGTAACCACCACTATCAAGATACTAAACTGTTCCATCACCTCATATAAGAATTCCTTCATGCTAAAACTACCTCTGTATCTGTACCTATCCTGTCCCCTGGCAATCACTAATCTGCTTTTCATCTCCATAGTTTTGTCATTTTTAGAATGTTACATGAGAATCAAGCAGTATATGATCTTTGAGCCTAATGTTTTTCAGTAAAGATGGTGCCTCTGAGGTTCATTCAGGCTGCTGCCCGTGTTAACAATTCTTTCATTTGTATTGTTAAGTAGTGTTCCAGTATATTGATGTCCCAGAGTTTATTCAACTGTTCACCCCTTGAAGGACACAGGGATGTTTCTAGTTTACTGCTCTCACAAATAAAGTGGTTATAAACACTTCTGTATAAGTTTTTGTATCAGCATAAAAATAATTTCTCTGGGATTAATATCCAAGAGTGCAACTGCTGGGTCATATGGTAAACACGTTTAGTTTTGTAAGAAACTGCCAAACTACTGTCCAAAGTGGGTACACTCTTTTTCATTCCCACCAACAATGTATGAGATTCAGTTCTTCACCTTCTAGCCAGCATTTGGTATTACCATTGTTTTTATCTAATAGATGTGGTGATAATTCCATGTGGTTCTAATTTGCTTTTCTCTGATAAGTATTGATGTTAAACATCTTTTTATGTGTTTAGCTGCCACCTGCAACTCCTCTTTAGTGAAATATGTATTCACGTCTGTTGCTTATTTTCTAATTGGATCATTGCATTACTGCTGAGTTCGAGAGTTCTTTAAATCCCTAAATTTAAGGCCTCTGGGAGATCTGTTGTTTACAAATATCTTCCCAACCTGTAGTTTGTCTTTACACTCATTTAACAGGGTCTTTCATAGTCCCAAAGTTTTTAATTTTGATAAAGTCCAATTTATTAGTTTTTTTTCATTTAGAAATTGTGCTTTTAGTGTCATATCTAGTAACTCATTGCCTAACTCAAGGTCTTGAAGATATTGTTTTCTTCTAAACATTTTATAGTTTTATGTTTTACACTGAAATCTATGCTCCAATTAAATTTATTCATATAGTGTGAGATTTAGGTTCTTGTTTTTTTTCTATTGATGTCCAATTGTTCTAGTACCACTTACTGAAAAGATTATCCTTCTTCCATTGTACTGTGCTTGCACCATTGCCAAAAATCACTTGGATGTATTTATGTTGGTCTATTTTGAGTTTCTTTATTTTACTACACGAATCTATATGCCTATCCTCCACCAACACTAACTTGTCTTGACTACTGTGGCTATACAGCAAGTCATATTAGATGGTGATTGCTCCCATTTTGCTTTTCAGTTTCAAAACTTTTAGCTATGATAGCTCCTTAGCCTTTCTATATAAATTTCAAAATAAACTTGTCTATTTCTACAAAAAGATCTTGCTAATATTTTGAAAGGAACTGTATTTAACCTATTAACTGATGTGGTGAGAATTGATATATTTACTGTACTGAGTCTTTCAATCCATAAACATGATATAACTTTTCATTTATTTAGATCTTTGATTTCTTTCCTCAGCATTTTGCAATTCTCAACATAGAGATTTTATGCATTTTGATAGATATATATGTAGGTTGTTCTTTCTTTGGCGAGCTCTAGAGTCTGTAGGGCTATCCCCTCTTTCATACCTGATATTGGTAATTTTTTAGTTTTTCTTCTACCATTTCTGTTTCCCCCTTCGATCAGTCAAATTTGGTAGAAATTTATCAATTTTACCAATATTTCCAAAGAACCAACTTTTGGCTTTAATTTTGTATACTGTTTCTCTGACTTCTAGTCCATTGATTTCAGTTTGGGTCTAATTGTCCCTCTTTGTCTAGCTTCCTAAGGTACTAGATGAACTCAGATGATTAATTTTAAACTTTTCAGTCTGGCACGGTGGCTCACGCTTGTAATTCCAGCACTTTGGAAGGCTAAAGTGATAGTATTGCCTGAGCCCAGGAGATTGAGACCAACCTGGGCAAGATGGTGAGACCTCGTCTCTACAATAAATAAAAAAATTAGTAGAGTGTGGTGGCGCACACCTGAAGTTCCAGCTACGTGGAAAGCTGAGGCGAAAGGATCACCTGAGTCCAGCAGGTTGAAACTGCGGTGGCTGTGAGCATGACACTGCACTGTAGCCAGGGCAACAGAGTGAGACTCCAACAACAACAAAGAAAATTTAAGTTTTTCTTCTTTTCTTATGTAAACATTTATAGCTAGAAGTTTTGCTCTGAGCTAGGCTTTGCCTTGCGTCTGCAAATATGAGTATATTAGGTTCAAATGACCATTTCGTTTGAAATTTCAAATTTCCCTTTGTGATTTCTCATTTGACCCATGAGTTATTTAGAAGAGTTTTTTTTTTTTTTAATTTCCAAATATCTGGGCATTTTTCTTTTGGTTTTAATTTCTAATCTAATTACAGAGTATGTAAACATACTCTATCATTTTAAACCTTAATTTTGTTTTATGGCCCATAACATGTTTTGTCTAGTCAGACTTGCTATGTACAATTATGTAACCATTCTAGCTGTCATATGTTTACTATTTGCACGGTATTTTTTTTTTTTATGTCAACCTGTTTGTGTCTTCATATTTAAACTGCATCTCTTCCAGAAAGCACAGTTAGGTCCTGCTCTTTTATCCAATTTGACAGTCTCTGACTTCATTAGACTGGTGCATTTAACCAAATTTAAAGTATACCACACACAATGTAATTTTTGGTCAGATTTAGAACTACCATTTGCTATTCGTTTTCCATTTGTCTTATTTGTTTTTTTTTTCTGCTCTTCTTGCCTTGTGTTTATCAAATATTTTAAATATTCAGTTGCTCTAATGACTTATTAGCTATAACTCTTTGCCTTATTGTTTTTAATAGCAGCTCTAGGGATTAGAATATACATCTCTATTTATCATTTATACTCTTGCCCCCATTTTTGTGCTACTATTGATGTAATTTATGTATTATAAATGCCACAATACAGTGTTTTACAATTAACTTTGAACTGTCTCATAACTTTTAAATAAATTAAAGAGGAAACAATGTTTCCCATATATACATAACCTTTTGTATTTAGGAACATTTTATTTCTGATTCTCTTTATTCCCTCTGAGGAACTACCTTTAGCATTTCTTGTCATATATATGAGGAAGTAAATGCTCTCAGTTTCTGTTTATCTGATGATATCTTCATTTCACCTTTTTTGGGAAAGAGTTTTGCTAGATATCATATTTGGGGATGACTCTTTTTCTTTCAGCACTTTTCAGAAGTTATTTGATTGCCTTCTGTCCTCTGCTGTTTGTTTGTTGTTTTTTTTTTTCTGGTACAGATTTATAGGGCCTATAAATAATTTTGTTACATGTATATATTGCACTGTCACCAAGTCAGGGTATTTAAGGTGTCTATCACCCAAGTACAACACATTCTTGTTAAGTACTCTGCTATCAAACACCCAATTTATTCCATCTATCTCACTGTATGTTTGTACACTCTAACCCACTTATCTTTATCCACTCTCCTCGCCCTCTACTCACCCTTCCCAGTCTGTTATCTATCTTTCCAGTGTCCACCTAGAAAACTTTTGGCTCCTACATGTAAGTGAGAACATGTGATATTTGTCTTTTTATGGCTCACTTCAAGCTCCATTCATGCTGCTGCAAATGACATGATTTCATGTGTTTTTGTTGCTCAACAGTTTTCCACTGTGTATATACAACATATTTTCTTTATTCATTCATCTGATGTACACTTAGGTTCCATATATTTGCTACTGTAAACAGTGCTGCAATAAACATGCAAGTGCAAGTATCTCTTTGATATACATGCTTTTATTTTTAGTAGACACCAGTAGATGGGACTGCCAGAAATATTTTCTATTTTTCTTTAGATTTTAGTAGACCATGATATGCTTAGGTGTGGTTTTCTTTGCATTTTTTTCCTGCTTGGAGTTCACTGATCTTCCTGGGAGTGTAGGCTAAAAGTTATTCTCAAATTTTAGAAATTTTCAGTCATTATTTTGTCAGATATTTTTATTCTGCCCTTTTTGCTCTTTTATCTCCTGGGGGAATAAATTACATTTATGCCAGTAATTCTATTTTTAGTTTTTTGAGAAATTCTCATATTGTTTTCCATAGTAGCTCTACTACTTCATATGCCTACCAATAGTGTATAAGAGTTCCTTTTTCTCTGCATTCTTGCCAATATCTATTATTTTTTATTTTTTTAATAGCAGTCAATCTGACTGAGGTAATAAGGTAAGATGGTATCTCACTGTGGTTCTGATTTTCATTTCTCTGATGATTAGTGATGCTGAGCATTTTTTACTGTATCTGTTACCAATCTGCATGTTTTCTGTAGAGAAATGTCTATTCATGCCCTTTACCCACTTTTAATTAGATTATTTGTTTTTCCCCTGTTAAAGTGTATAAGTTCCTTATACAGACTTGGTATCAGTCCCTTGGGTAAATAATTTGCAAATATTTTCTCTCATTCTACAGGTTTTCTCTTCACTCTAGAAGAGACAAAGGAAACTCTATTTCCTTTGTTATTCAGAAACTTTTTAGCTTAATATAAACCCATTTGTCTATTTTTTGTTTTTGTGTGCTTTTGAGGACTTAGTCATAAATCCTTGGCCAAGACCCAATGCTCAGGACAGTAGTCCCTAGGTTTTCTTCTAGTATTTTTATAGTTTCAGTCTTACATTTAAAATCTTTAATTTGTTTGAGTTAATTTTTTAACATATCAAGTGACAGGCATTCAGTTTCATTCTTCTGCAGTTTTCCCAGCAGTTTATTGAAGAGGGTATCCTTTCCCCAATGTCCTCTTCTGTTTTTGACGAGAAACAGGTATCATTCATATTGTTATTCACTCACATGTGATGTGTTTCCTTTGATTCCTTGAAATATTTGCTATTTTTCTTTAGTTTTTAGTAGACCATGATGTGCTTTGGTGTGGTTTTCTTTGCATTTTTTTCCTGCTTAGAGTTCACTGATCTTCTTGGCAGTGTAGGCTAAAAGTTTTTCTCAAATTTAGAAATTTTCAGTCATTAATTTTTCAAATATTTTTATTCTGCCCTTTTTTCTCTTTTATTTTTTGGGGAGAATAAATTACACTTATGCCAGACAACTTAATATTGTCCCACATGGCTCTAAAGTTCAGTTCATTTTTCCTCCATCTTTTTTAAAATTTCTACCTCAAACTGAATAACTCCTATTGCTTTTTCTTCAAGTTCACTGACAATATCTTCTGCTTTCCTCAATATGGTGCTGAGTCTATCTAATGATGTTTGCATTTTGGTAATTATATTTTCAACTCAATAATTTCTATTGGGTTCTTTTTTATAGTTTCCATTTCTCTGCTGCGTTTCCCCATATATTTATTCAAGTTTTCCTTTAGGCACTTAAAATATTTATAATATCTGCTTTAAAGTTCTTGTCTGCTAATTGCAAGCACTAGATTATCTGAGACAGTTTTGATTAAGTACTTTTTTTCTGCTTTTTTTTTTTTTTTTAACATACTGGACTTTATAAATAATACATTGTAAATAGTCTGGGGTTTTTTTTGTTTGTTTGTTTGTAGAGACAGGTTCTCACTATGTTGCCCAGGCTGGTCTTGAACTGCTCCTGGTCTCAAACAGTCCTCCCGCCTTAGCCTCCCAGAGTGCTGGGATTACAGGCATGAGCCACTGTGCCCAGTCAGTCTTGTATTCTTTTATTTCTCAGAAGAATGCTAATTTATATTCCAGTAGACAGTTAACTTGGCTAGGCTCAAACACCAAACTGTCTCCACTGCAATGGGCAGTAGCAAAATACTCTGCTGGATTCTCTTGGCTTCCTGCTGTCATTTTTCTGCCAAGCCCACAGGAGTCTCTCTTGCTCATGCATAGTTCTAGCAGTCAGCCAAGGACTTGGGCAGTATTTATGTGCAGGTTTTGGAGTTAATTCTTTTATGTGGCTTTCTCTTTTACATATTCTCCCCTAACTTTCCAGTTGCTCTTCTAGCTTTAAACCTTGTCCTCTGTACTTCAATCCAGTAAAGCTTAGAATTTTTGATGTCCCAAGCAGCATACACATTGAGGAATGTCCTCAGGCAAAAAGCTGTACTCTTAAATCTTTCCCCTTGCTGCTGTCAACTTCGAAGATTAGACTCCTTGACAGTTTCTATTTGCTTCAGGTAACTCTCCAGTACTTTCACATAGTTGTTTATTTTTAGGAATTTTTTTTTCCATTTTATGATTGTTATCTGCCAGTTATCTGATCAAGTTACCTCACCATTTACCTAACAGTATTTACTTTTAAAGTCATACTTTAGCATCTGCTATGCTAAACACTATGTAAGATGCTACCTGTATACACAAATATAAGAAACTATTCCTATCCCCAAGGATATATTTTTGTTTACTTGCCTTGAAAAATTTATTTTTATTCACATATCTTATACATATACCAATAATATATACATAGTTATAATTATATGTAAATAAATGAAAACAGAGTTTTTCTTACTTTTCTACTGCAGATCGTTTCTGTGACTTGCTCTTGTAATTTAATGCCATCTTAGTTTCCATCCCGGTGTATATAGCAACACCTGCAAAACAAGATAATCTTTTAAAATAACCCTCCAACAAGTTTCTCAAGACAATAAATATACTCACTAGCATAAAACATTTAGTGTGACATCTGTTATAATTTTGCTTTCCTTTACATCTTTTCAGAGTTTTTAAAGGATTTCTGAGTCCAATTTTGGGGAATCCTAGTCAATCTGCTAAATGAGGGAGTGCATCGGGAGTGCATCGGGAGTGCACCTGTTCCTGAGTTATAACAGATATCTGAATGCAAAAGATATTATTTAAGTTGGAACTGATGGAAGAAAGGAATTTGAAAAGATAAAGGTGGCAGGGAAGGCCATTATAGATGTAGCGAGCAGTGTTCACAAAAAAAGAAGAAAAGAAAAGCACTTTCTGTTAGGTTGGAACAATGGAATGGGGCCAGAGTGTGAAAGGCCCTGAAGGTCAGAGTCTGAAGTCTAGACATCATTTCATAAGCACTGGAAAGATAATATGGAAGTTCCTCAGAATAAATCAAGTAAACACAAGGCAAGTGCTCCTTTAAAAATGTGCGCCTATGTGAATGCTTCTGAGATGAGTGAGAATGAAAGTGGTAATGGAAGTGAAAACGGGATGAATAAAATTAGGAAGTGAAAATGGAATGAATAAAATTAGGTAAGACCACTCTAATGAGAAACTTTGCAGGCATACCTTGGTTTGAATGCTAGCTCTGTCACTTAGTTCTGATTCCTAATGTAAGTAATTTATCTGAGTCTCAATTTGCCTGTCTGTAAACAAGAATAAATAACTCAGAGAGTTTTGTGAAGTCTGCCATGAAAAATTATCAAAACGCCTAGAAACAGACAAATGATCAATAAATGTTCATCCTCACCCCTAAATAGTAAAAACTGAAAAGTAGTGAAAACCTCATCATGCCTTATTCCTAGAGATTTGTCCTAAAACTTTTACCCATTAGAATTATTCCTAAAAGGCAGGGGTTATAATTCAATTGACAAAGGGCCCTGAAATTATAGAAATGTGGGAAAACAGCTGGAATGATTCAATCGGGAGACTTAGAGCTGAGGCAAACAACAGATGATACACCCATCTAAAGGCATTCAAATATACATCTTATTTTACATGTACAAAATTTGGACTCCTGCTTCAAGATAAACAGGAGTGATGGTGTTACTCCTAGAAAGATATGTTAAAATACAGTGTTACATGACAGAATCTAAAAGCCCCAAAGAGAACATTTTCATCACCCCCAAAGAAAACTCTGTACCTATTAAGCAAACATTCCTCATTCTCCTCTGCTCCCCAGCCCCCTGGAATCACTAATCTGCTTTCTGTCTCTGGGAATTTGCCTTTTCTGAGTATTTTAAATACAGTTTCTCCACATCTTTACTGACACTATTTTCTGCTTTTTTTTTTTTTCTGATATATGGATTTCTTCATCAGAGAGCCTAACACTGAGATATAAGCTATAATATAGATATCAGGAAAAAAGAGAATTAGGAAAAGGACCTCAAAAGCTGTAGAAGACAGCTAGTGGGTAACTTCACAGGCCAAGATACTAAGGGTGATTCCTAAAATAGGAGTTAGCTGACAGACAGCGAAAGGCTATCTTCAACTTCACAATTTGCTTAGAGTTGATTCAGAATGTACTAAATTAATTAAGATCTCCAAGGCATTAGCAGTATTTATTTACTCTTTTGATCCAGTCAGTATATGTTCCAATAGTACCTGGTAAATAGTCAGAGGTCAATAAGAATTTGTTGAATAAATGAATACATGAATGAATAAGTCTGTAATTATTAATCCAGTCTAAGAATAATCATAATGAAATTACAGAAGTGGTTTCCTGAAGACAATTTTTCCACAGACAGTAGGACTGGGGGGGGGCGCGGGAAGGGAGGGATGTGCAGTCAAATCTCACTGCTAATGTTAATCTGTATTTGCAGCTGCTCCCCAGTGCTAGCATCACCACCTCAGTGCCACCTCAGATCATCAGGCATTAGATTCTCATGAGGAGCATGCAACCGAGATCCCTCCCATGCACAGTTCACAATAGGGTTCACACTCCCATGAGAATCTAATGCCACTGCTGGTCTGATAGGAGGCAGACCTCAGTTGGTGTGGAGCGACTGGGAGTGGCTGTAAATACAGATAAAGCTTTGCTGCTTTGCTCACTGCTCACCTCCTGCTGTGCAGCCTGGTCCTAATAGGACACGGACCAGTACTGACACCATGATGCCAGATTATACTGGTTCTCATCCACCATTATTAGAAGTGACATAAATTATCTTACTAGCACTTAGTTTCACAAGTATCCACAAAGACAATATAAGAACAAGGCTAAATCTACTACTAAAAAACAGGGATCAACAACAAAAAAATGCAACACAAAACTACATTAATATGATGTTTATAAAAAAAATCATTGTCATAAACAATATTTAATCATAAATTATCTAACCAAAAGACCACAAATGCTGTGCTTTTAAAAATACTTCATATAAAGCATTAACACAAATCAACAATTTAAGATGTTTAAATATGTACAAACCAAAAATTTCTTTTGTGTTTTTTAATCTAGCTCCACGAAGCAGGAGACTCTCAGGTCCCAGAGGTCTAGGAGAAAGAGTAAATAACCATAAAGCACTGAATATATTAAAAATTCAATTCAATTCTAAAATGGCGTCTTCACCAGGTGGTACTTAAGATGTAGCTACAATACTGCTTTCAAATAAACCCAAAATCCCAGGTACCATAAAGCTGCCTAGGCCAATCATGATGTTAGTTACTGTAACAACAAACGCCTGTTGTAGCAGTTTGGTCACTTTGGGATTATTTAAGATTAGTGGCTTAGAAATAAGATTATGCAAGTAAATAAACTCACAAAGCCACTAGTTTCAAAACTTTTAAACATAAAATTCAGCAAAATCAAAGTTTAAGCAGTGATTTTAAAATGTTTAGCAGAAGATGAAATTATAAAAATTTTGATTAAAATTAATACACAGCTTTGAAAGGGGAAACAGAATTAAAATGCAAGGTAAACATAAACTGTAGTATGATTTGTGTATAAATGCATGAGTTCTGCACGATTAAAATTACACTGGATTATAAAATACAATGTAGAAAGTATGTTAGTTCTTTTTCTAGGCAAGATAGCACAATATAACTTGACTACTTGCATTGCATACTTCTTGGTGCACAGGTCTTCTTGCTGTTTGAATTTCTCTCCATAAGGGAGATATAAAACGACAAGGAATAACTAGAAAGGAAATTGTATCTTCTTAGTGATAGCAAAATGATGAGTCTGCTATGGATAAGTTAAAAAGCCTTTATTTTGCAGATATCCCTTATGCTTCTCCAAAACATACATATATACACATAGTTATCCAAACCAAAAAGAATCTGAACCATTTATGACGATCAGTAAATCCAAACACTGCAAAACATGCAATAAACCAAGGAGGACCAGGTACTGGGGACATGGTTACCAAGTGTGGGATTATTAGACAGTCATATTTGGAGCATATTCCATGGATATTCCAAAATCAATGTGGAGGCTAACTATTTGGAGCTATATCAAAAAGTTTTTTTTTCACTTTGTGTTACTTCTAACAATATAGAGAAATACTATTAGCTCATATGGACATATATAATTGGGCTATAATGACAACAGCTTCAGATGAAAAGATAATTCATCAGCTGTCAGGTTGCTTCAGTTAAGAACATGGCTCAGCCTGTAATCCCACGCTTTGGGAGGCTGGGGTGAGTGGATTGCCTGAGCCTGGGGGTTCGAGACCCGCCTGGGCAACTTGGCAATAAATCAAAAAATTAGCCAGGCGTGGTAGCACGCGCCTGTAGTTCCAGCTACTTGGAAGGGTGAGGCGGAAGGATCGCCGGAGCCCAGCAGGTTGAGGCTGCGGTGGCTGGGAGCGGCCAGTGCACTCCAGTCTGGGCAACAGAGTGAGACTCCAACTTAACTTAAAAAAAAAAAAAAAAAAGAACATGGTTCATTTTTTTAACCACTCTAGGGGCTGAAATAACGTAACTGCTATATTCCCTTACTAGCCACTGTATCTTAATGCAATTCAGACTGTGCATCCAACCATTTCCCACAACTTCACTATAGAAATCAAAATAAACCTAGTCATAGTTATTCAGCAGGGGTCCTACACATACAAAAATCTTGTTACAGATTTATTAGATATGCTTCCACTTTAATGCTTATTAAAAATGTGAATCAGTGCTAATGCATGGTGTTTTTGGTGACTTGTCTTGAAGATTTCATTTTAAAATGCTCAACTCTTTCAGTTAGTGACTTATCTCAAACAGCCAGTATAATTGAATATGTCCCCAGAAAAGAGGGAGAATATCAAATCTGATTAGAAATTCAAGAGCTGATTCCAAGATTGATTCTAAATTAGGTTTACGGTCATGAGTAACAACGTAAGCTCATCCTATCAGCAAATCTTTGAACTGACAAACTAAAGCCTTTCATTTAGGCGCCAGAAAGTAACCCAAACACTGAGGGGGAAAAAAACAACCAACCAAGCAAAAACCAGTCAGAAGAGTAAGTGGTCTTGAATTGGCCACCAAACACTCTAGCTTGCACTGAATGATTTTAAAGTGAAGAAGACTATAACATTTATATTGGTTAAATATTATATAAAACATTTTTCATATTCTATACTTTAAGTGTTGTGTGTTTAAATGTGTAAGGAGCTGAATAAAAGTGGCTATATTTCCTTCTAATGTTACTGCCTAATATTATTAGAAAAAGAAATAAAAAACACAAGTAATCTTACTAAATTATTTTGAAGATATTTCATGGGATTTGATTCATCCTCCTTGCTGCTGCTATAAATTACTAGCAGATGAAATGCTAAATGCTTTTAAATTAACCCTTTCCCATGATAAGCTGCTTATTTATATAATCTCCCTTTAACTTTTAATCCTTTACCCAAGCAGTCCCCACTTAAAGGTAATTAGATAACATGAATTATTCTTACCTTACAATTTCTTCCATTTGTTGAGTTATTATCATTCGTCCCATGAATCTATTAAATAAATCACCATATTACAAATATGAATACAAAAATGTAGTAACTTATAAATAACATCAACGGATGGAACATTTTAGAGAATTTTTGCATTATTCTTATACATGAAACAAGTCAACCTTCTGTATATAGGAATGGCCCAATATTCATGCTAAAAATTGTAAAATAAACACTCAGTTCTTAAACTTTAAAATATTTAAAAGTCTTGCTATCTCTACTCCAGCTATAAATGAGGTAACGAGTAAGAATGTTTTCCAAATGGCAAGAATTTGCAGCATTTTGGATTTCAAGATTTTTCGGATTAGGGACATTCAATCTGTAATTCAATAAAAGGAAAATTTTAAGTGTATAAAGTTAGGTATATAAAAATATTCTATCAACTGTCAACAAATATATAGTAAGATCTGCAAATATATAGTAAGATCTGCAATATATCAGATACTGTTCTAGGTGTTTGGGATATATCAGTGAACAAAACATACAAAGTGCCTGACCCTGAGTTTACATTCTACTGGAAGAGAGAGATAATAAGCAATGAACATTATAAGTAGGAAAATTATATAGTATACTGTACGGTATATGTTATGAAGACAGAAAAGCAAAATAGAATAAAAAGGATCTGGTTGCAGTACTAAGTAGTTAAGGCAGGCCTCACCGAGGAGGTGATTTGAGCAAAGACTTGAAGGGTGTAAAAGAGTTTAACAGCTAGTCTAAGGTGGGAGTGGATATGGGGACGTAAGGAGGCCAGCATATCTGGAGCAGACTAAAAAGGAGAAGGATAAGAAACAAGTCAGAGAGGAAGCCTGGGGATGGCACCAGATCTTACAGATAGTTATAAAGATATGGGCTTTGGCTCTGAGAGACATGAAAAGTCAGCACAAAGTATGAGTAAAGGAATAGTATGGCCTGACTACATTTTTAAAGGATCACTGTGGCACAGTGCTCACAGTACTTTGGGAGGCTGAGGTGAGAGGACTGCCTGAGCCCACGGGTTCAAGACCAGCCTCAACAACTTAGTGAGACTTCATCTCTACAATAAATCAAAAAATTAGCCGGGCGTGGTGACGTGTGCCTGTAGTTCCAGCTACTTGGAAGGCTGATGTGGAAGGATCGCCTGAGCCCAGCAGGTTGAGACTGCAGTTGCCGTGAGTGTGCCACTGCACTCCAACCTGGGTAACAGAGTGAGACTCCAACCAAAAAAAAAAAAGGATCACTGTGGCTGACTTTGTGAGGACGGACTACAAGAGAAAGAGCAAGGAAAAACCCAGTAAGGGTGCCTTTGATAACAACAATCCAGGCAGGAGATGGTAATGGTTAAAACGGCCAGATCTGAGTGTATTTTGAAAGTAAGCCAACAGAATGTTCTGATAGTCTGGAGTGAACTATGGGGAATGGGTGAGGAAAGGTGAAGGAAGAGATGCAAGGAGTCAGGGCTGACTCCAAGGTTTCTGGCCTCAGCAATCAGAAGGATGAATTGTTATCAACTGAGATAAGAAAGTCTGTTGGCAGTAAAAGTTCTGGAGGGAAGATCAGTAGTTTAGTTTTCAACATGATTGATTTGAGATTTCTTCTAAATATTCAGATGAAACTGTGGAACAGGCAGTTGGGAATGAGAGTCTGGGAAGGAAGTCGGGGGTGGAGATACAAATCTGGGAGTCATCAGCATGTAGAAAGTAGATAGTCTTTAAAGCCACCAGACTGGGTAAGACCACCAAGAGAGTGAGTACAGACAGCGACGGGTACCGGTAGGGAAGGGAACAGAACAAATCCTGGGCACTCTAATAGCCAGAAGTCTAGAAGAAAAGGAAAATTCAGCAAAGGAGACGGAGAAAAACAGAATAATGAAGGAGGAGGAAAACCAAGAGAGGGAAAGGTTCTGGAAGACTTGTTAACAAATTATATCAAAGAGGAGAAAGTGATAAACTATCGAACAACCGATTTTAAATTGGTGAACTTATTTGTAATATGGCACCATTAAATATTTGTAATAGCAAAACAGTAAAAAAAGTATAGAAAGATTAGGGAATAGTTCTACACTCTAATACATTCACTTGGACTATTACACAGCCATTAAAAAATGATCATTAAGAATACTATGCAGTATAATGGAAAATACTTTCTTAAATCACAAAACAATCCACATTTTCAAAAAATATTAGAAAACACAAAAAAGAAAAAGCAATTAAAATGCAGCAGAAATCCTACCATCAGAAAATTACTAACATTTGTATATACAATTCTGCTAAGTTTTCCTTTCTCTCTGTAGCTATTGATTATTCCATCTTGCTATCAACTACCTACCTATCTAATTCATACACACACACACTTTTATTTTTATATAATTGGATCATATGAGAAATACAACTTTATCTCTTATTTCATTTAACATTATATTTCAGTATGCACTTATGTCATTAAATCCTTTTTTATGAGTTGGAGTCTCACTCTGCTGCCCAGACTAGAGTGCAGTTGCATGTTCCCAGCTACCATAGCCTAAACCTGCTGGGCTCAGATGATCCTTCTACATCTGCCTTGCAAGTAGCTGGGACTACAGGAGCGCAACACCATGCCCAATTAATTTTTTTACTTATTGTAGAGACGAGATCTTGCCAAGTTGCCCAGGCTTCTTGCCTCTGCCTCCCAAAGAGCTGGGATTACAGGTGTGAGCCACCATGCCTGGCATGTCACTAAATTCTTTAAAGACATTTGCAGTATCTACATTTATGATGAAAAACAACCTGGAATTTATTTAGAAAAAATTGTTTTTATTCTTACACATTTAAACTTCAGTCACCTTCATAATATTCTCTATTTGATCCTATCGAGATGCCTTTTCCATTTTTTAAAAAAATTTTATTTTTGAGTTGGAGTCTCACTCTGTCGCCCAGACTGGAGTGCGCTACCAGGCCCGGCTGATTTTTTGATTTATTGTAGAGATGAAGTCTCGCCAAGTTGCCCAGGCGGGTCTTGAACCGCAGGCTCAGGGAATCCACTCACCTCAGCCTCCCAAAGGCGTGGGATTACAGGCTGAGCCACTGAGCCCAGCTGCCTTTTCCACTTCTTAAAACAGTTTTTGAACTTGTCAGTTTTGATGCCTTTTCATATTTCTACTGTTTTTTGCCTCACCTCTTCCACATCAACAAACCTCCTCTGAGGACTTTTTTCATCCAGGGAAAAAACAAAAAAAAGCACCACTTGGAGCAAGATCAGGTGAACAGGGAAGGTGGGGCACAGGGGTCTTGCTCTTTTTGGTCAAAAACTGTTGAACACTCAGTGCAAAGTAGGCAGATGCACTTGTAAATCACCCATCATGAAACGGGCAAACATACTGAAAGACTGTGAAGCCAAAATTCACTGAAGTCAAACACAGCCTCTCACAACAATACTAGCTGGTCCACTGATGCCAAAGGGTTCCTAGAACACTTACCTAGTGGGGGAAACTTGTACTACACGGGGCCCACCGTCCAAAAGATATTTCTGGTTTTTTGGGGTCCCCCTTGTATATCTATCTAAGCATTCTCCTACTTGAAAATGATAAATGCTTATAATACTTCACCTATCTACAGCACATAATAAAGTAAAAATATAACTTGTAAAAATATTCTCTTAAACTCCAATGAGCTCAAGGATATTAACTATTCTTATTCATCTTATTTATCGCCTATCACAATGAGCACATAAATGCTCAATAATAATTTATTGTTTTTGGAGTTGGAGTCTCACTCTGTCACCAGACTGGAGTGCAGTGGCCGCTCCCGGCCACTGCAGTCTTGACCTCCTGGGCTCCAGCGATCCTTCCGCCTCAGTCTTCCAAGTAGCTGTAACTACAGGCACGCGCTACCACACCCAGCTAATTTTTTTTAATTTATTGTAGAGATGAAGTCTCGCCAAGTTGCCCAGGCAGGTCTAGAACCTGCGGGCTCAGGCAATCCACTCATCTCAGCCTCCCAAAGCGCAGGATTAGAGGCTGAGTCACTGAGCATGGCTAACAATAATTTGTTAAACAAATGAATAAAAACAGTAATGAAATATTTTAAGTAATGAGATATAGATATAATTTTTTGAGGCAGAGTCTCACTCTGTCGCTCAGGATGGAGCGTAATAGCTTACTCATGGCTACCGCAGCCTCAACCTGCTGGGCTCAGGTGATCCTTCCACCTCAGCATTCTAAGTAGCTGGAACTATAGGTGTGTGCCACCACACCCAGCTAATTTTTTATTTATTGTAGAAACGAGGTCTCACCAAGTTGCCCAGACTGGTCTCGAACCCCTGGGCTCAGGTAATCCTCTTGCTACGGCCCCCCAAAGTACTGGTATTACAGACGTGAGTCATTGTACCCAGCTGGCAATAACATAATTATGAGTTAACTATTATTAAAGCCTGCTGTAATGATTACATTTATATTTAAAATAAACTATATACTTCCAAAAGAGGAATTATTTTTTATTTAAAAAGTTGTTTAGGCTGGGCATGGTGGTGCACGCCTTATAATCCCAGCACTTTGGAGGCAGAGTCAAGAGGATTGCCTGAGCCCACAGATTTGAGACTAGCCTAGGCAACATGGAGAGACCTCATCTCAACAATAAATCAAACAAACAAACAAGAAAAAACTACCTAAGTGTGGTGGTGCATGCCTGTAGTTCCAGCTACTTAGAATTCTGAGGCGGAAGGATCATCTGAGCCCAGCAGGTTGAGGGTATGGTGGCCTTGAATGTGCCACTATACTCTAGCCTGGGCAACAGAGTAAGACTGCTACACACACACACACAAAAATAAGTTTTAAAAAACTTTCTCCCAGCTGGGCTCAGTGGCTCAGCCTGTAATCCCGCGCCTTTGGGAGGCTGAGGTGAGTGGATTGCCTGAGCCCACGGGTTCGAGACCCGCCTGGGTAGCGAGACCTCATCTCTACAATAAATCAAAAAATCAGCCGGGTGTGGTAGCGCATGCCTGTAATTCCAGCTACTTGGAAGGCTGAGGTGGAAGGATCGCCGGAGCCCAGCAGGTCGAGGCTGTGGTGGCCGGGATCGGTCACTGCACTCCAGTTTGGGCGACAGAGTGAGACTCCAACTCAAAAAAAAAAAAACAAAAACAAAACTTTCTCCCTATATTCCAAGATACAAAACCACAGATCAAAGCATTAGTCATATTTCATCATTTTCTAGCTTTTAATAACTTTTTAAAATTTGCCATTGCCTAAGCTTAAGACCTAACAGCAATATAGAAAAGTACTTAATTCTTTACAGCTAAACACATCATGTAGTTTCAGTGCTCTTAAAGCATATTGAGAGAGGATCTAGCTAGAGAAAAGCCAGGCAGATAGACAGGATGGGTCCCCCAGTAACACAGCAGCAAACTTACTGCAGGCCTCTCTGGTTACAGATACACCCCCCATCTGTAACCAAGCCTCCCTACAAACAAGCCTCCCTACAAGCCTCACAAGAAAACACTCACTGCCGGGATTGGAAAACAAACCAATCAGTTCACTGCTTAGTGTCAACCAATCAGCTCAATATTAGGCCCTCCCCCTCCAGTCTGTGGGTTCTTAGTACTAACCAATCACCATAGCTGATTGTGTTAGCCAATCAGTTCGGCCTTAGGGCTATATAAGCATCAGGTTTTGGTTCCAAATTGGCAACCCTGTTGAGTCCCCTCCCTCTGTGGGAGCTTTTCTGTTCTCTCAATAAATCCTGCTTTCTCATCTTCGGGCCAACCATGTATCTCATGTCTCTCACGTCCCTCATTCCTCCATCCGAGTCCCTCATGTCCCTCATTCCTCCTAGGTGCAAAATAAGAACCCAGAACTGAAGAACACTCCTGGAGCTCAGCTTGCTGACCCACTGAGGTGACACTCTCGCAGCCCAGCCAACCACAGAAAAATCCGTATCAATATGATTCCACTTTTTCAAGCCAGGCGCAGTGGCTCATGCCTGAAATCTCAGCACTTTGGGAGGAGGAGGCAAGAGTGTTGCCTGAGCCCAGGGCTTCCAGACCAGCCTGGGCAGCTTGGCGAGAACTCATCTCTACATTAAGTCAAAAAATTAGCCGGGTGTGGTGGCACACACCTGTAGTTCCAGCTCTTTGGAAGGCTGAGGCAGAAGGATTGGCTGAGGCAGAAGGATTGCCTGAGCCCAGCAAGTCAAGGCTGCGGTGGCTGTGAGCTGCTGCTGCACTCCAGCCTGGGAGACAGAGTGAGACTTCAACTCAAAACAAAGCAAAATGACAACAAAAATTAAGTTTACTAAATACAGGCGTGAGTCACTGTGCCAGACTAGTGAACTTAGTATTAAAAGAAGTTAGTTCCTCTGCTCCTTTCAGAAACAAGGATTTTTACAAATCTAACAAACTAAAAATATATACTTTTAATTTTGGGCTTATTGTGATAGGCAATAAATGAGTAAGATTACCTTCTGTCCTTGAGGAATTTGTAGCTGTTAAATATTTACGTAACATTACATATCCTTCTCTTTATTATCTGCTATATATAAGTGAAATATTGAAAGTTTTATAAATTATAAGGCTCTAATTTAAAAGGAATATCCTCTAAATAATATAATAGTGAATAGAAAGTGAGCAGAGACATAACCCCTGCCGAATTCAGGGTACTTACCCCAAAAAATCATTAGATTATTTTCTTACAAGGGAATACTCTTAAGTCTACAATAACTAATGTTATCGCTATAAAGTGAAAACTCTAGTTCATAACAAAATAGAAGTTAATGTGAAGGAACTTATGAATAAAAACACGACCTCTGAATTAATACCGTTGGCTTAGAATTCTGGCAAATTCTGCTTTTAGTATTTTTCCCCATTAACTGAATCTACCCCAACCCATCGCACAAATATTGTCTCCAATGGTTAAAGATTTCATTTTATGTTTATGATGATAAAAAAATAAGGCCTGTAAAGAGGACTTAAAATGAGTACAATGACCACCACACCATACCTGTACAAGTCTGCTTCTGGTTGCTGGCATTCTATTACGGCTACTAGTGTGTCCAAACTGGCAACTGTTTGTAATACTGCTGTTTCTGGAACTGCCATATGTGTCTGGAAAAAAAAATGAAATAAATTGCACAGTTTCTTTTTTTAAATTTTAATTTAATTTTATTTTTTGAGTGGAAGTCTCACTCTGTTGTCCAGGTTGGAGTGCAGTGGTACGCTCACAGCCACCGCAGCCTTGACCTAATGGGCTCAGACGATCTTTCCACCTCAACCTTCTAAGTAGCTGGAAGTACAGACATGTGCCACCATGCCTGGCTAATTTTTTTATTTATTGTAGAGATGAGGTCTCATCAAACTGCCCACGCTGGTCTCAAACCAGTGGGTTCACGCAGTTCTCTCACCTTGGCCTCCCAAAGTGCTGGGATTATAGGCATGAGCCACCACACCTGGCCCACTTATTTATTTTTGAGTTGAAGTCTCTTGTTGCCCAGGCTGGAGGGCAGTGGCCTGCTCACGGCCATCGCAGCCTCAACCTACTGGACTCAGGTGATCCTTCTGCCTCAGCCTTCCAAACAGGTGGAAGTACAGGCATGTGCCACCATATCCGGCTAATTTTTTGATTTATTGTAGAGATGGGGTCTTGCCAAGTTGCCCAGGTTGGTCTCCAACCAGTGGGTTCAGACAATCCTCTCACCTTGGCCTCCCAAAGTGCTGGGATTATAGGTGTGAGCCACCATGCCTGGCCACAGTTTCAAGATCCAAGTGGGACCTTAGATATCAACTATTTCAAATCTCTTTTATAGAGGAAATCATGGTATACTGTACTTAAGATTATTAAGCTGGACAACAAAATAGAGGAGAAAGTCAAATGTAAAATAAACAAGGAGCAGCTGGGCACAGTGTCTCATGCTTATAATCTCAGTACTTTGGGAGGCGGACGTGAAAGGACTGCCTGAGCCCAGGGGTTCGAGACCAGCCTGGGCAACTTGGCGAAACCTCATCTCTACAATAAATAAAAAATTAGCTAGGCATGGTTGCCCATGCTTATGGTTCCAGCTACTTGGAAGGCTGAGGGGGAAGGATGACCTGAGCCCAGCAGGTCAGGGCTGTGTGGCTGTGAGCATGCCACTGCACTCCAGCCTGGGTAACGGTGAGACTTTGACTTAAATAAATAAATAAACAAGGAGCAAAGGAAGTTATTATGATCACCTATCTACAGAGGCCATTTGCATCTAATAAAATTAAGTAACTGTATATAGTCACTACTGCTAGGTTTACTATATGCAATTTATTTATTTTTGGTTTTTTTCTAAGACATCTTATTATATGGCATATTATAAGCAACCTAATAGGGAGAAAAATGTGAATTTTCACACTTGATTGCACTCTGAAAATTGAGAAAAATTATATTTGTCCCTATCTTAACAAGCACCAAAAAAAAAATTACATACATATATATCAAAGATTAGATTTTTCCTAAAAACACTTTCCATTTTTTTTTTTGAGTCAGAGGCTCACTCTGATGCCCACGTGTGAGCCATCATTCCCGGCTAATTTTTTTTGTAGAGACCAGGTCTCGCCAAGTTGCCCAGGCTGGTCTCAAACCCCTGGGCTCAGACGATCCTCTCGCCCCAACTTCCAAAGTATAGGGATTACAGGCGTGAGCCACTACGTCCAGCAAAACACTTTCCATTTTTAACTGGAATTGCTAAAACATGTGAGAATATTTTGAAATAAATATATTATAACATAGATTCTTTTGTAAAGCTTTATAATTTTTTAAAGTTTCAGTAATTTTAAAAATGTCTCTCTCCTTAATCAGATCAAATGTTGTTATTTTAACCAAAGAAAAATACCACTATAACCCAAAGACATTCTGTTCACCACAATCAATATTCAAACATATACACAAACAGACCTTCAGGTTAGTTTCTCCATCCAAACTTGCAGTTGTAACGTGACATGAACCATCAGGTCGGTCTGAGGACAGAAGCACCAAATCTGCAGGAAAAATTTCATCTTTGGCTATTCGAACAATATCACCCACCTATGGAGAATTTTGGGGAAAGTAAATACACAGATTTTAAAAAGCAAAGATTTATTTTTACTGGCTTCTAAATAAGTGGCCTATCACAGTATTCTAGTGTAAGAAAACAGGTTTTTAACTAAAACATTATCAAGATTAGAATTAATTGCTATGATACCAAAATAAAATTGATTTCTCTTATTTACCAGATGCATACCCGAATGTTTTTTGATCTAGTTTTTACAAGGCCACCACTTCGAACAACATAAACAGGAGCTCCATTTACTTCATTATCTGAGTTATGTCGTAACCAATCTTCATAGCCCTGTAAATATGTAAAGTGTAAAAAAAAAAAATCTTTCTCAATATAAGTTGAGGATACTTTTTTCAAACGAGAAAAAAAACCCCAAACATTTCATTCACCAGAATTATTTTGATGCATATGCTCACAGGCATCTGATATTCATTCCTACTAGATACACTCTCTTCACTATATTGTCCTGGCTTTCTTAGGTCCTCCAGTTATACTTTTCAGTTTCTCTATGTGAGGTCCCTTCACTGTCACCTTTACAGGCCCTTTTTTCACACTTCACTTTCTCTCTAGGAGATTTCTTCTATCCCTGCATGTTCAGACAGTATAAATAAGCTGGCAATTCTGAAATTTATATCTCTAGCCATGTCTCTCTTCTGGATTCCAAACTCGAAAATCTAACTGCTATTGTACCCCACATCTTTAAAGTAAAAAAGAATTTTAAAAAGAGAAAATCTATCTGCTTTATTAATATCTCCATTTTGATGTCTCATAAATATATTTAAAATATTCAAAGCCAGATTGATGGTGCTATTCCCAAAATCTGTTGTATTGCCAATGTTTCCCATTGTGATAAATGACATCACTATTTTATAAGTTGTTCTTGTCAGAAATATAGAGGGTTTTTTTTGTTTTGTTTTGTTTTGAGTCCAGATGTCTCACTCTGTTGCCTAGGCTGAAGTGCAGTGATACAATTCCGGCTTTCTGCAACCTTGACCTCCTGGACTCAAGCGATCCTCCCACCTCATCCTCACTAATAACTGAGACTACAGGTGACTGCCACCATGCCTGATTAATTTAAAAAATTTTTTTATGCAGACAAGGTCTCACTTTGTTGTGCAGGCTCGTTTCAAACTCCTGAGCACAAGCGATTCTCCCACCTCGGCCTCCTATATTGCTGTGCCTAGCCTAAAGAGATAGTATTAAGGAATTAAAATGTAAGGTATAGAATAGGTTGTTTTCTATGCTACTAATTGTGAAAAAATACGCTTGCCTATGTGAACACTTTGCATAGATATCTGGACTAATTTTTAAAAATTGATCCCTTGGCAGCAGAACTAGGAGAGTGGGAGTTAGGACTCTAAGACTTTTACAATATGCTATTTTATACTGTTTCCATTGTTATAATATGCATACCTATGACTTTGAAAATATCAAAACACTATAAAATAAAAAGCAAGATATTAAAAATTATTTTGAAGATCTGGTTTTTTTAAGGGGGAAACCTTTTTTAGAAAACATTCTTAAGATACCTAAATTATGTTGGTCCTATTTCAGTCACAATTTATCATTTTACAGAAATTTAGTTGAGAGTCAAAATATCTTTTCTAAAATAGCCCAAAGCACATTTTATTTTATAGTCAGATAATATTAGTAATAGCTGCACTCCAGCCTGGGCAACAGAGTGAGATTCCAACTCAAAAAATAAAATGAATTAAATAAATTTAATCCTCAACTGCAGTAATCATTCTTACATAGGCTTGAGGTATAATCTTTCTGCTTCCTGCCTTTAGATTTTATGCATTTTTACTTCACCCATTCTGGAAGGAGACAGGTTGTCGATTATTATCATGATTATATTAAGCTCCTATTTTGTAGCACTTTTTAACTCAGTTAATGGCATCACATTCCCATTCACAGTTCATATTTGGCAAAAAATATAGGGAGATAAGGTCAAGAAATACTGTAACATTTTTATACTACTTTTAATAATATTCAGTAGATTCATTCATTCATTAATTCACCTATGCTACAACTCTTCGAGGCCCAATGTGCATGGCCTTGTTCTGGTCACCGGAGAAAAGCCAGTATATAAAACAAAATCCAACCTGGGCAACATAGTAAGCCTTCGTCTCTACAAAAAAATAAAAAAATAAGCCAGATATGGTAGTGTGCACCTGTAGTCCCAGCTATTTGGGAGGCTGAGGTGGAAGGATAACCTGAGCCCAGGAAGTAGAGGGTGTGGTGAGCCATGAGTGTGCAATGCACTCCAGCCTGAGCGACAGAGCGAGACTCTGACTCAGAAAGAACAAAAACAAAATCAAAATCAAAATTCTCTGCCTTCATAGAGCTAAACATTCTAAGGAAAGTGACAGATGAACTAATAAATATTTATCAATAGAACAAAAGGTAGTGACAAATTATATGAAAAAAAAAAGGCCAGAGCAAGAAAGTAGCATAGTGGCCAGGAAAAGTCAAGTTAAGCATATGAATAAAATGAGGAATTGAGCATAAAATTATCTGGTGGAAGAACTTTCCAGGAACAAAGTACAGCAAGTCATAACACCTTGAGATAGGAGCTTGCTTACTGTGTTTGAAGACAAGTAGAGGAAAATAGCTGAAACACAGTAAGTATGGGGAGGAACCTAAACCACCCCGAATCGGAATTTATTTATAAAACATTGTGTATTTATTCTTACATGTTCAAACTTCAGTCACCTTCATAATACTCTCCATCTGATGCAGTATACCTATCGAAATGCTTTTTCGCCAGGCATGGTGGCTCAAGCCTGTAATCCCAGCACTTTGGGAGGCCGAGGCTAGAGGATTGCCTGAGCTCAGGGGTTCGAGATCAGTCTGGGCACCTTGATGAGACCTTGTCTCTACAATAAATTAAAAAAAAATAAGCTAGGCATGGTAGCGCCCGCCTATAATTCTAGCTACTTGGAAGGCTGAGGAGGAAGAATCGCCACCTGAGACCAGCAGGTTGAGGTTGTGGTGGCTGTGAGCATGCCACTACACTCCAGCCTGGGTGACAGAGTGAGATTCTAACTAAAAAAAAAACAAAAAAAAAAGAGAAAAATGCTTTTTCTACTGCTCAAAACAGTTTTTGAACTTGTCAATTTTGGTGCCTCATAGAGCTTCTGTCGTTTTTTGTTTCACCTCTTCCACATCAGCAAAACATTTCCCTTTGAGGAGACATTTTTCATCCAGGGAAACAAAAGAAAGTTGCTTAGAGTGATATTGGGTGATTGGGTAGAGTGGGGCATGGGGATCATGCCGTTTTGGTCAAAAACTGCTGAACACTTAGCACACTGTCAGTAGGTGTGTTGACATAATGAAAGAACCAGTCACCTGTGTGCCACAACTCAGGATATTTCTTCTGCAAATCATGATGCAACCGTCTCAAAACTTCCAGATAAAAACTGTGGTTGACCATCTGATCTGGAGGAACAAATTCTGAATATACTACAAGGGGCCTGTCTTCCCAAAGATAATTCCAGGTCTTTTTGGGTCCCCCGTCATAAAAGGAAAAATGGTAGGAAATGAAGCAGAAGGAGGAACCAAGGACTAGATAGGCTATGTCTTGTAGATCACTGAAAAGGCCTGTGGGTCAAGTGTGATGAGAAGCTTCCAACAGGTTTAGGTAGGAAGGTAGTATGATCAGATTTTAAGAGATCAATGTGGCTGCTGCTGTGAAAACTGTAGGAGGGCAAGAGTGGAAGTTAGAGAACTATCCAGAGAGGAAAGCAATTGCCCAGGCAAGAGATAATGGTGGCCTGGACTAACACAGTAGATCTTGAAGTTAGGGATAAACAATCAAAGGATGAATCCAAGGTCTGTGGTTACTGGATGGAAGTGCCATTTAATAAATGGAGGAACAGTAAGAATAGTACAGTTTTAGAGGGGGAAACAAATCAAGAGTTCTGTTTAAGATTCTTGTGAGGCCTGGCTCGGTAGAGCTCAGCCTGTAATCCCAGCACTTTGGGAGGCCGAGGCGAGTGGATTGCCTGAGCCCACAGGTTCGAGACCAGCCCAGGCAACTTGGCGAGACTTTGTCTCTACAATAAATAAATAAAAAATTAGCCGGGCATGGTAGTGTGTGCCTGTAGCTCCAGCAACTTGGAAGGCTGAGGTGGAAGGATCACCAGAGCCCAGCAGGCTGGCGGGTGGGGTAGCCATGAGTGTGCCACTGCACTCCAGCCCGGGCAACAGAGTGAGAGTACAACTCAAAGAAAAATGATTCTTGTGAGATGACCAAGTAGAAATGTGAAATGGCTACACGTATGTGTTTGGAGTTCAAAGAATAGTTTCAGGATAGATACAAATTTAGGACTTTCTTCATATAGATGGTACATTAAGTGACTGGATGGGATGAAATCACACTAGAGGAGAGTATATATGGAAACGAGGTCCAAGTTTGCTATTCTGATTAAATAAAACCAAGGAAATATGCAACTGTATGGAGTGATCTGGATGCTTCCTGACACAAACTCTAGTCTCCAATTTAGGAATAGAGTAGGGGATATTAAACTGAGTGACAGCGGTGACCTAATGTTCTGACACATAGATGCATAATGTAACAGTTAATCTATAGGCTCCTCTTATTCTTCCTATGTAAGCAATAAAGAATATATTTCATCCTAGAATTGTAAAATGTCAATTTTATTTTCATGTCAATTTATATCTTATCCTTACATCTTATAAAATGAAAATTTACCACATTTACCTGAGAAAATTCAATTAACTCTCCTGCAGGTGGAAAGGATAATCTCTGTATAACTGACAGTCTGTCAAGATTTTTTTGAGAACTGGTAGCTATCCTGATATATTCCTATAAATTTTTTTATTTCTTGCTCAGTATGTTTATCCAATAATCCTATTTCTCTATACCTAGATTTTAATGTCAATTTATGATTTGAGTGAAGCTATTTCCCCTAGGGTACTACTTTACATGAAAACCAACTTCACCAGAGAAAGCTATAAACTGTAGAAAAATACTATGCAATTTTTATTCACAAATGTTCATGCCAGAAGTACACACTGAATTCCCTATAAACATATCCCTTTTAAACTGTATTTCCTTTAAATATCACCAAACTCTACGATTTAATTATAATAAAAAATCTGTTTGACATACAAGTTGGTTGACATACATATACAATACTTGTTTTGGGATACTGCCTAGCTGTTCAACAGAGCAACATATTGTAACAATGGTAGGTATTCCATGAATCACCAGGTACTTGAAATATACCACATATCAAACAAATATGCTGCTTTCTTATGGATATTATTTCACAGCAATAAATGTTACCCTGAAGTGCAATTATTTAGTAACTTCTGAGAGACAAAGGGAAAATGATAATAGAAAATACTTCATACCTGCTTTATGGCGGTTACTGTTATCACAAAGAATAATGGAAGTCCACTGGTAATTGGACTGGTAGGTGTATCAATCATAAGCTGGATTTAAAAAAATAATGCAGAGTACTATATTTTTACATTGTATACATCATACTTTAACATCTAAAATCTCATACTATTATTTACTGGGTTTAATTTAGTTCACAATTTCACAACTTCACTTTGTTGGTTCTTACATGAGGTTGGTAGAACACTTAAATTTATTACCTATCCACACATATTGCAACAAGAGTGAGCTAAATCATGTTGCTTCCTTAATACAAAGGACCCTTAAGTTCTTCTTCAATAGCTGCCAAGGAGTAGACTACAGCTGCTCAGGTATCACTTCACATTTCTCTGTACATCCAGTAAATGCTGAAAAGTCTGTCACCAAATTCTACCCTGGGATTCAGAATAAAATCAACACTTGGGAGAGTGAACTAGGAAAAGGACTATGGAAAGGGTTTTTCCCACAAGTGATTTGTTATATCCAGCAAAACCAGAGGGGGATAACTAAGAAAATGATGATGAAGTTATGATTTAAATCATACAACTGAGGTTTCAATAAATTGTTGGAGAAGCAAAAAAATATTTGCAGTAATTAGGTATGATTAGTTAGAACATGGATATAATGAATTCTTAATGTTCCTTTACTCAGGATAAGCCAATTAAATTTGTTCTATTCCACAGATAAGCTGAATTCCTCATCTTAGCTAGTCATTTCACAAATATATGCAAGATACGTGGATATGGTTAGTATAAATTTCTTGCTTTTTCAAGAAAACCAAGTTGATCTCTATTGAGAAATTCAGAAATCAGAAATTCTTTCTCTGTTCACTAAGGAAAGCAATTTCTTAAAAAGTGAATGTTTCCTAAAGTTTTTAAATGATTACTTGACAAGTTTCGATTTTTTTTGACATTCCTGGTTCTACTGAGAACAAAGTTCAGTTTATTCAAACATTTAGTGCCACAATGGAATAAACTGCAATATGAAAATTAAGCAACCGTTGAACAGCCAATAATGAACACAGATTTAAGTAAGAAAATGATCACCTGGCCAAAAAAAAAAAAAAACAAACCTACATGGGGATGCTTAAAAATTAAAATTTTTTAAAATAAAGTTTAAATTAAAAAAATTAAAAGCCAAAGAAAAGTTTAATCTATACAAATATGATTCCATAGGCAGAAATGTGTCAAAAACATGCACTATATATTAAAAGCCAAAATATGTATGTCCTGAGGCAGGATATCTGAAAGATGATGGGTTATATTCTTGGCTTAGATTATGGTTAATCTAACGAGTACAGCACATCATAGGTGAAGCAAAATACAATTGTTGTTAAGATTCATAGGCAAATTTTTTGAAATCTAGATGTGACTTACATCATTCCATTTAATGAATACAATGGGGGAGCCTTGTAGGAAAAAAATGATCACATGGTCAAACGATTAAGAACATGATGTAATTTTTCCCCGTTCTAAGGCACATTTTTAGAAACCATGTTAACAATCTATTGAGTGATAAAGCTTACCTGAACCAAAAATATAATAAGAAAATAAAAGTTTGCCACTCTTCTGAATTGTTCAAATAAATTTTTTGGAACAAAATTCCACACAGTATACTAAAAAGAAAAAGGAGATATCAATACATTAATACTTAAAAATTTAATTTATACTATATAGATATAATAAGAAAAGTAAAATCAGATTTATTAAAGCCCTCAGACAATGATATAACTCTATTATTTATTTTTTGGTAGAGACAAGGTCTTTACGTTGCCCAGGATGGTCTTGAACTCCTGGGCTCAAGCAATCCTCCCGCCTCAGTCTCCCAAAGTGCTGGAATTACAGGTATAAGCCATCATGCCCAGCAAAATGATATAACTCTAGATGCTACAGAAATGATTTATCTGGTTTCTAGAGTTCAGGACTTTTATGGTACTTTCCTTTTTTCTTTTACCATTATTTGCAATTTTTGTACAACTTTTAAAACCAAGACAAACTGGAACCCATCAATTTTGTTATTAAATTCTTGATGTTTTAGAAGTTGGCAAAGGCAGTTCTAAAACAGCATTTTAATAATTTATTTTGAACTCTGGCTATACGAAAGGATACCTAATGCTAAAGATGAATACAAGCTGATACAAATGCTGGCATTAGATCCAACTTATTTTATATTTTACTTAATTCAGTGTCAGAAATAGAGGAAATTGTTTAACTGTTCAATTATTTTTTGTTTAGTATGAAAGACAAAAAAGTAACCTATAATGTTAAAGGAATAAAAATATTCTATAAATGATTACTGGGATAACCACCAAGAAAATTGCATAAAGGATATAAAAATCTGTCACAATATCAATTTAAACAGATAAGACATTAGAGTATGGTCAAAAGCATAGATGCTTAGAGGTTAAACTGCTGGGGCCCAAATCTTAATTTTTAACACTCACTAGAAGACCTTGGACTTAATCTCTCTGTGTCCCACTTTGTTCCTCTATAAAATGAGGACAATATTAATCATAACTTACGGGGTTCTTATAAACAGTAAATGAGCTAACATATCAATGAAGCACTTAGAACAGAACCTAAAACTAATTGCTACAAAAGTGTTTGTTATTAGTATTAATCAGCTCATAAGCCTACAATGCTATTTTATAAGGGCAAAATAAGACATTACAAATTATATTTGAATAACAACTCACAACATAACCTCATATATGAAACAAGGAAACAGTTTATAGAACTTTTACTTTCCCTTATATATATATTCTCCCAGAGGAATATAAGATCCCTGAGGCCAGGGACATTATCTATGTATCTGCTCTATCTCCAGTGGTGGAGATAAAAAAAATTTGCAAAATAGATGAATGAATAAATAAATGCTGAAATAAGTTTTTTCTCAGATAATATTCTGATGTCAGACAATGAAGCCTTGATGTTTATCGACCAATTCAAGATTTTTGAAGAGGCAGTTCACCTAATTTTCTCTGGTATAAGATGGTTTAATTTTTGAATTTTCATGTGTCAAAATTTCCATGTGGCTGAGCACCGTGATGACTCATGCCTGTAATCCCAGCACTTTGGGAGGCAGAGGTGAGAGGACTGCTTGAGCCCACGGGTTTGAGATCAGCCTGGACAACCTGAAGAGACCTCGTCTCTACAATAAATCCAGAAATTAGCTGGGTGTGGTAGTGTGCAGTTATAGTTCCGTTACTTGGAAGGCTGAGGTGGAAGAAGCACCTGAGCCCAGCAGGTTGAGGCTGCAGTAGTCATGAGTGTCCGTGGGTGACAGAATGGCAGTACCAGTGGTTCCAGAATCTGAAGATGGGAATCATGTTTAGGGCTCTTGAGAGAAGAGAAGCAGATACTTCCAGGACCAAAAGAAGTTAATGTTCAATATATATATGAGATGGTCATTCTGGGTCAAGTCATTTCTAGGTGGTCTTAACTGGAGTTAAGAATCAGTTGTCCTACAGGAGTCGGAATATCTCTGTGTAACTTATTCAGTCACCAAATCAACTGCATAACTTCATAAGAAAACTTAGAGGCCAGGTGCAGTAGCTCATGCCTGTAATTCCAGCACTTTTGGAGGTGGAGACCAGAGGATTGTCTAAGCCCAGGGATTGGAGACCAGCCTGGGCAACTTGGCGAGACCTCGTCTCTACAATAAATCAAAAAATTAGCCAGGCATGATGGTGAGTGCACAGTTCCAGCTACTTGGAAGGTTGAGGTGTAAGGATCACCTGAGCCCAGCAGGTTGAGGCTGCAGTAGCCATGAGAGCCACTGTACTCCATCCTGGGCAACAGAGTGAGTGAGACTTCGACTTAAGCAAAGAAGAAAAAAAGAAAGAAAAGTTGGCAATGCCCTACATTTATACCCAATATATTTAAATCATAGCAGTAACAATATATTTTGTATTCCGGGATCTTAGGAGAGCAGCTATTGGCAGTAAGGGAATTGGTTTTAAGGTGCTTTCCTTGGCTAGCTCAATAATACAAGAAAAAACTCAGAACAAATAAAAATTTTTATGAAAATCAGCATAAAAATGGTAGGTGCTGTTGTTTCTAGGTTTTCTGGAACACAAACATATTTATAGACAGAACGAGTCTAAATGCCGCGCTTGTCCTATTGTATCGAGGAGACTCTAGTGATATAATAGTAAATACTATGAAAATGCTGCTAAGATAATAATTTAATTTTTATGTATATTCTGTTTATGTAGGGATAATAATTTATTGTGCTTTAAATTTCTAATTATGTATAATGGTTAAGATAAATGAGTTAGAATTAAAACTTCCCTATAGTTATACATGGCTGCATAATTGACCTTATTTTCCTTAGTAAGAAAACCAAAACATGGGTATAGAATTAAATATTTTGCAAGGAAGTTTAAATTTAAGAAAATGTCATTACTATGGCCAATTAAACTAAACAAAGACATATCATGCACCTGCAATGAGTAAGACACTACCACTATAAGAGAAACACAGATAAGATTTAATATGAGAAGATTAAGAACAAAATATTAACAGCTGTATCCAAAGATAAAGTAAATGAAAGAAAAACTCAATGAGGGAGGTCTTATTAGCTTTAAAAGAAGAATATTCAACAGACTGACAATCAAGGGCAAAAAAAGGGAGAACATTTCAGGAAGAAGGATAGTGTGAATAAAGGCATCAAGGAGAAAAGTTCATTGTGGTTCTGTGAGATAGAAGATAACAGGATGCAGAGAGTTCAGAGTACTAATAAGGGAAGAAAAAAGGCAGTGAAAAGAGAGGAATGAGAGGCTGCCTTCATGTAAACTCAGGAAAAAAGTGATCGCACCTGTATATTTACATTCTTGAAATTACGGTAAGATATGAAACCTAAATTTCTACTAAAACAAAATCTACAATGTCCACAAAAACATAAAATCAACATTTTAGCAACGTGAAATCAAAGCAAAGGCATGGTGATTGGAAAGTTCAACATGAGTTTGTGGAATGCATAAATAATGTGAAGGCAGAAAAAAAGGGGCAGGGCAAAGGAACTGCTGACCTAAGACAACATCCCTGGGAAAAATGAGGTCAAAATTAGATTAAAAATGCTAGTTGCTTTGGAAGATTCTTCTTAAGGTGCCCTTTCAAGCAAAAGCAATGATCTGAGAACTTCACCCTCTGTCTCTCTGACTCACATCCTCTATAAACTGTACTGTCCAATAAGGTAGCCACTAGTTGCATGTGGCTACTGACACATAAAATAAAATTAAATTAAATTAAAAATTCAGCTTCTGAGATGTTCCAGCCATATTTCAAAGCCTCAACAGCCTTGTATGGCTATTGTCCATCATAAGGGACAACTCCATCATGAGAGAAAAGTCTACAGGATAGCACTACTCTACAATCTCTAGCTTTAAAATAACCTAAGACATCTTCAAACTGCCTTAAGAAAAAAATGAAACAAGGAAGAGTATTAAAAGAATGAGGCAGTACTTTAGCACCATAAAAATGTTTACAAGTGAGTGATAACTTTGGAAGAAGCAAGCTTTAAAGACACACAGAAGTAAGTTCAAATTCCAATCCAGCCACACACTGCTGTACAACCTTGGAAAAATTATCCAATTTTCCAGCACTTTAATAGAAGAAATTGATATAAAATGAGTATAATGACACTTTGCAGAATAGATTTCAGAAAAGCTATCTCATAGGGTTGCAGTAAGAATTAAATAATATAAAATGAGGAGTACTTAATATATACCTGTTACATAGTATACATATTAGTTTCTGTTTAACCACAACTAAAGATAATTTTTTGGCACGTTGGCTACCGTGATATCAGCAACTAGCCGTTCCTTTTATAGTCTACCATTTTGGTTAAGATAAATCTACCAACAGCCATTTTCTTAACATTCTAAGGATATAAATATATACTCAAAGACACACAATAAATCACTTTTTAAAATAAAATGGTACATATCCACAGTTTTACTCAATGTAAATCCTTACCTTAGATGAAATGATCCGGTTATCTATAAATTTCTGAGGTGTGTAAAGGCCATTCTGAGGAAACCTGTTGGCTATGTAAATGGTTCTTGTGTCACTTTGATGTGGTGGGTCAAAACCCTAAGACCAAGCAAGAGAAAAAGAAATACCAGTTAACCAGGCTAGTTGTTATGATACTTTACTTTTGGTTTTATTAATTAATCAGATTCCATATATTATTACTGCTATTAAACTGTATATAGACTCAATCAATTGAATTATTAGAAAAGTTATGCCATCTGTATTTTTTCTTTTACAAATAAGTAGGTAAAGTATCTCCAGATAGAGACTTAGGTAATATCTCTAGTAATAAACAGTTCAAGCACAAGGGTGGGATTGGCAGACGCTGGACACTGCTAGGGGAAGGAAGAGAGGGAGGAGGGAGGGGGGGCATGTGGTAACACACTGGGCACCAGGTCTACTACTGAGGCAGGGAGAGAGCCAGCTAGAAGCCCAAACTTCACCTGTATGCAACTTATTTAAGCAATAAACCCTCACATGTATCCCACAACACTAAAAACAATTCAGACTCTGTCAGAAATGCTACTATAAGAAAAAAAAAAATCAAGGCTGGGAGTGGTGGCTCATGCCTGAAATGCCAGCACTTTGGGAGGCCAAGGCAAGAGGACTGCCTGAGCCCAGGAGTTAGAGACCAACCAAAGCAATATGGGGAGATCTCATCTTAACAATAAATTTAAAAATTAGCCAGGCATGGTGGTGTGCACCTATAGTCCCAGGTATCTGGAAGGCTGAGGCGGAAGGATCACTGGGCCCAGCAGGTAGAGCCTGAGGTAGTGTGATCATATCACTGTACTCCAGCATGGGCAACAGAGTGAGACTTTGACTCAAAAAAAAAAGGAAAAAAAATCATACTTAGAGACCTAGAGAAGCATTTGGTAAGATTTCTTTTCCCACTGCTTTCCTTCCTTGTCATTCCTGTGTTCCTTCTCTTAGGAGGCTTTCTGCTCAGCGATGTGCAAGTCCGTTGTCACTACAGCTTAGTAAGCTCCTAGCAAAGGTCTATATTTATTTTTACTTATTGTACACCCAGACAGACTTGATTTCAAAGAGTTTCGTTCCCAGAGGACTTAGAATGCATTAAGTAGGGTCTTGCCCAATCATTTGTGCCAGTTACAGTATCAACTGATTTCCTGAAATAGAGAAACAAATATGCTCTAATTCCTGGGACTGAGGAACTCATATTCTGGACCATCTCTCAAGGTACATTACTAACAAGCTCTAGTGGAAAAGACTTCACTGGTGACAAGGATACTGACACTTTGTCTCTGCAGTACTGAATGAACTCTCTTTCAGGATTGCAGGCGAATCTTTGAGACTCCTTTGACAGATCTCAGGAGACCGACAGGCTGAAGGCAACACCTAAATGCATGGTTTTTGTTCTCACAAATGACTTGAAATTCCTTCAATTTCCTTTTTTTATTTTTATAGTGGCCAAGGGCTGTTTACCTATACTAAGTATTTAAAAGGCTAATTAAGCTTGCTATTCATAAACTACAATGATCCATTTTTCAATATTACTGAAGACCCTAATTTAGTAACCTACTACGTGTGTAATCTGGCTGTCATCCAATGTTTAGTCCCTATAAAATTTCCATTAAGCACAGACATACACAGGCAGCAGGAGAGCCCGTATTACCTAAAGGAATATTTTGCTTAGTAGTACATCAGAATATCAGCAGGGTTGTATACCATATTCAACTGCTATCATTCTTGGTTTTAAAATTTTATTCTGTGATCTTAGAAACAGCTAGTAAAGGACTATACAAATGTATTTTATATGCATCATTAACAACATGTTTATCTGTTCATACTATTTAAAGTCCTATAATTTTCTAACCTGATTTTGTAACATTTTAATAGCGACGACGATGTTTTACAGACATGTACCACCATGTGTCTGATTTCAAAATCAGTTGTTTCAAGGAAAAAATATGGTAGCATGCATATTTATTTTCCCCATAAATTTTCTTTTAAACTTTTCACAATTTGGTAAATAAATAAATAAGTGAACAAATGAATGAACAAACACAGTTTGACTACTGCTGCAGTAAGACCAGGCATGGTAGCTCAAGCCTGTAATCCCAGCACTTTGGGAAGCTGAGGTGGGTGGACTGCTTGAGCCCAGGAGTTTGAGACCAGCCTAGGCAACATAGCAAGACGTTGTCTCTACAAAAAATTAGCCAGGCATGGTGGCACATGCTTGTAGTATGAGCTATTCAGCAGGCTGAGGTGAAGAATCACCTGAGCACAGGAGGTCAGGGCTGAGGTGAGCTGTGATCATGCCACAGCACTCTAGCCGTGGTAACAAAGTGAGACCCTATCTCAAAAAGTAAAAAATAAATTTTAAAATGAATGAATGTTACTGCTTTAGTCTATGGAATATTTCTCAAAAAGGGTTCACAGGAAGTTTATCAATAAACTGGTAACTGGGCCGGGCTCAGTGGCTCAGCCTGTAATTCCAGCACTTTAGGAGGCCCAAGACGAGTGGACTGTCTGAGCCCGCCAGTTCAAGACCAGCCCAGGCAACCTGGTGAGACCTTGTCTCTCCAATAAGTAAAAAATTAGCCCAGGGTGGTAGCACATGCCTGTAGTTCTGGCTACTTGAAAGGCTGAGGCAGAAGGATCACTGGAGCCCAGCAAGTTGATGCTGGGGTGGCCGTGAGTGTGCCACTGCACTCCAGCCTCGGCGATGGAGTGAGTCTCCAATTCAAAAAAACAGAAAACAAAACTGGTAACTGAAGAACTAGGCTGCATGACGTGTATTTCTTTAGCATCCACTTAGTAATCATGTTAGCATATTCCCCATACCTGGTTCCTGCCCCTTGACATGCTTTCTGCTGTCTTTCTCTCCAGCATCACTCTGCCTTCAGCTCAACTCAACAGATTCAGATGGAAATCTGTAAGAGTTTGTCTGTCTGTTTGCTTGTTCATTGAGCTGGAGTCTCAGAGAGGTACAATCATGGCTCACCTCAGCCTCAACCTCCAGAATTCTGCGAATTCAGGTGATCCTTCCACCTCAGCCTCCAGGGTAGCTAGAACTACAGGTGAGCAATACCATATTCAATTAATTTTCTAATTTTTTTTTGAGTCAGAGTCTCACTCTGTCACCCAGGCTGAAGTGCAGTGGCATGCTTGTGGTCACCGCAGCCTCGACCTGCTGGGCTCCAGCGATCCTGCCACCTCAGCCTTCCAAGTGGTTGGAACCACAGGTATGTACGACTACATCCAGTTAATTTTTTTGATCTACTGTAGAGACAAGGTCTCGCCATGTTGCTCAGGTTGGTCTCAAACCCTTAAGCTCAGGCAGTCCTCTCGCCTCCACCTCCCAAAGTACTGCTGGGATTACAGGCTTGAGCCACTGTGTCTGGCCAATTTTAAAATTTTTTTGTAGAGACAAGGTCTCACTATGTCGGCCAGGCTGGTCTCAAATCCTCTCGCCTCAACCTCCCAAAGAGCTAGCATTACAGGCATGAGCCACCACGCCTGATCATGTAAGAGCATACTTAACATTGATAAAATATCACTCATGTTATCACTTTAACACGAAATTATACATCATGCATGAAAGCTACTAGGATAAAGTAAAAAAAAAAAAAAAAGAAGAAGAAGAAAAGAGAAGGAAAAAGAAATTCCAGAAAGAATATATAAATGTTAAGATGTCAAGACAACTAAGACAGAAAACCACTGATGTAGAATTTTATTTTAATTTTTTGCTAAATTCTAAGATTGGAATTGATGTACATTTAAAGTTAAGAAACAAAAACAAAACAAAAAAATACAAAATGACAAAAAAAAACTATAGCAACATCTCAATTTTGACTAGAATTTACACATAAATGCATGCACTTTCCATGAAGCAAACGCTCATCATTCCCCATTTTTCTCTACTGGATGATGAGAACCAGTGATCACATACTAAAATTTCAAAACTCCTGAGATTTCAACAATTATTTCAAAGGGATACGTTAAAAGAAATATGTTAAAATATATCAAAGGGAGATATTATTTCAAAAGGATATATTAAAATGTTCCCCCAAATCAATTTTAAATAAAATTGAATTTTAGAATTTCTACACAGCAGCTTCATATTCTAAGATATCACAATGTAAAATAAGAAGACAATTCCAAAATGAGAATGGTCATAAGTTTTACCATATTACTAAAGATGATATAACATCTACTTATGCATTCTGAGGTTTTTCCAGCTGTGATTTGCACAGAATCTGATCCACTCATGTTATAATCAATGGCATGTATATATGTATGGATGTATATGTGTATTTTCTTTCATAAGCAAAATAGTTAAATTTGACATATGAATTTGTAGTATAAATATGGCCAAGTGTCCCTAATGGAAATTAAACCTGTAACTTCAGTTCGTCAGCATTATCTTCTCTGCAACAAATTAAACTAGCCACAAACTAAACAGAAATAAAAGAACAAAACTATCCAAAAACGAAGACACTGACTCTGAGCAGGGTCCATAAATAGGTTTCAGTTCTGTGAATCCCTGAAATTGTGGGCAAATTTGCATGTGTGTGCATTTTCCTGGTAAGAGTGTGTATAGGTTTCATGAGATTTTCATGATGCAAAGAAGCTTAGAACTACTTAACCTAAAATCTTGCTTTGTAATTAATTCCTTATCCCCATACTCTATATTTAAAACTGCCTCAAGAGAATCTTTACGTTTCAATAAACCTCTACTTTCTTTAACAGGAGTCAAAGCAAACAACTATTATCAAAACTAATTGCATACCTATATTGTTTGTATGAAGTTCAAGTATATCTTCCTACTACTTCTACCAAGCATCAACTCCAACTCCATGGCACTGGGGAGGAAATACAATCCAAACTGCCTAATCACTAGGTCAAGGCTATGTGCCAGGGTTCAGAAATCCTTGGCACATCTTACATTTTCTGTTGTCATCCCACACTACTCATTCACACCCTCAGTCTCTTGATACTTGCCTGCTCCTTTCTCCTCCGATTTTATCATGTCCCGAGCACAGGAATTGAGATAGATCAACGCTACTCTAGCTACCCTTAATTTTATGC